AATGTAATAATTGTGGATTACGAAACCATAAAACGGAAGAATGCCGTGTGGATAAATCTCTACACTGTGAAAAATGCAATAGATATGGGCACGTGAAAGAGAAATGTTATTTAGGATCAGGAAAACCAGCATTTTTTTGTTCTTTACCCAAAGACATATTTTCACAATATAAATCAAGGAAAGATGGAACAGTTTTAGCCAAATTGAATGAGAAAGAAGATGTGGAGATGATACTTGACACAGGAAGCTTTAAAACTATTGTCAATAGAGACCTGATTCACGATGATTCAGTTACACATGACGAAACAGTTGAGATGACTTGTGTTCATGGAGATAGACAATCCTATCCAACTGCTGTTGTAGAGATCAACATAGAAGATGAAATATACAAAATAAAGGCAGCTGTTTCTGACACACTTCCTGCTTCTGTACTGATTGGGCAAGATATCTTATCCAAACTGGATCAAGAGAAGATGGACAGATATATATACAAAACTAAAAGTAGGGCATTTGTTACCACTAGGAATCAGAAGAAAATGCAGGCTGAAGAAGAAAGGTCTGATCTAGAGAAGGATGAGCAGTCTAATGCAACGCTGATACAAGTTGACGATGAAAACCATACAAATAGCAATGAATATAGAGATGAGAAACTACCATTTCACTTTGACGAAACTCTGTTTAAACCACCAACACAAATAAAACACAAGCCAACAAGAAGAGAGAAGAGACATCAAAGAAAGAACATGTGTAAAGTTGATGAGACAGATGCAAACATAGATGATATCAGCCGAGAAGAGTTGATAAAGATGCAAGAAACAGATCATACACTTACCCATATTAGAAAATCTGTTATAATGATACCTGAAGAAGAACAAGCCACACCATATTTTGCAAAGCGAGAAAACCTGATTGTTAGAAGAATCAAAAATCAAAATGGGGAAATCATGGAACAGATAGTACTACCACAAAAATGTAGAAAGAAAACCTTGGAATTAGCTCACAGCATTCCTATCTCAGGACACCTTGGGATAAAGAAAACAACATTGAGAATCATGAAGAAGATGTTTTGGCCTGGAATCCATAGAGATGTGAAAGCATATTGCAACAGTTGTGATATCTGCCAAAAGACATCACGAAAGATGAATTCCAACAGAGCACAGATGATACCACTGCCAATTATCACAGAACCATTTAGTGTTATTGGAATGGACATAGTAGGTCCATTAGAGAGATCAAAGAGAGGGAACAAATACATATTAGTGACAACAGATTATGGAACAAAATACCCTGAAGCGGTGCCCATGAAAGTTACTGATTCCAAGAAGGTAGCGGAAGAGTTAATTGTGCAGTTTAGTAGAGTAGGAGTCCCAAAAGAAATTTTATCTGACCAAGGCACAAATTTTCTGTCAAATATAATGCAGGAGGTGTACAACATGATAGGAATAAAAGGAATAAAAACAACTCCATACCATCAGCAGACAAATGGACAGACTGAGAGATATAATGGAGTTTTAGTTAAAATGATCAAAAAGCTGACAGCAGATAAACCAGAGAATTGGGATGTATATTTGCCATATTTACTGTTTGCCTATCGTGAAGTTCCACATGAGACAACTGGATTTTCTCCGTTTGAACTGCTATATGGAAGAGCAGTAAGGGGACCGATAGATATACTAGCTGAGAAATGGGAACCAAACACAGAAGCAAACACAAATGTTATCGAGTATGTGACACAGATGAGAGACAGAGTAATGGATACTAGAGAGATTGTGAAGAAGAATGTCGCAGAAGCAAAACACACACAGAAAAGGTATTACGATGAGAAATCACGAGACATAGAGTTTCATCCAGGAAATAACGTATTACTGTTATTGCCTTCAAGTAATATGAAGCTGCAAGCAAGATGGCAAGGACCATTTAAGATTGTGAAAAGGTGTAACAAAGTGAATTATGATGTTCAAATTGGAAACAAGGTAAAAACGTACCATGTGAACCTGTTGAAACGGTACACAAGTCCAGATGACTTCTGTTGCTTCACTACAGAAACTATTCAAGAGGAGATACAAGAAGAGGATGATGACGAGGATTTTATGCCAATACAATGGCCAACAACAGTACAAGAGAATGAAGAAGTTAAATACAACATTTCACCTAACATATCAAGAGAGCAGAAGAGACGAGTTGAAACATTACTTCAAGAATACCAAGATGTATTGTCAGATGAGCCTGGGCTAACAGACATAATTGTGCACCATATCAACACTAAAGATTCAAAACCAGTCAGACAAAAGCTTAGAAGGTTTCCCAAAGCATATGTTGAGTTAATGAAAGAGAAAGTAAACAAAATGGTTTCCAAAGGGATAATGGAGCCATCTGTAAGTGAATGGGGAGCCAACTTTGTATTTGTACCGAAGAAAAATGGTGAGCTACGAGACTGTGTCGATTTTAGAGACCTGAATAAAGTAACAGAGTTTGACGCCTACCCAATGCCACGGATAGATGAAATTCTAGATGGGCTAGCAACAGCTGTATTCATTACAGTCATGGATTTATGCCGAGGTTTTTGGCAAATTCCTCTGAGTGAAGATTCCAAGGAGAAGACATCAGTTTTAACTCCTTTCGGAACATTTCAATTTAAACGAATGCCATTTGGATTACATGGGGCACCAGCAACATTCCAGAGAGCAATGGACAAGATGTTAGAAGGAGCAGAAGCCTTTTCTGATGCTTATTTCGATGATCTAGTGGTCTTCAGTAGCAGCTTTGAGGCACACCTTTGTGACATCAGACTTATACTAGAAAGGTTAAGAAAACACAATTTAACTGCAAAACCATCTAAATGTAAATTTGCCTATCAGGAAGCAGAATATCTAGGACACAGAGTTGGAGGTGGTATAGTCAGACCAAGCTCAGAGAAGACAGAGTCAATTCAGAGATTTGAGAAACCACACACTAAGAAGAACCTGAGAACATTCTTAGGAATGACGGGATACTTTCGGAAATTCATTCCAAAGTATGCAGACATAGCCTTTCCACTGACAGAGTTAACAAAGAAATCTGTAGCAGTGAAAATACCATGGGGAAATAAAGAACAAACTGCAGTAGAGACGTTGAAGGAGGCTCTGTGTTCTGAACCAATCCTTAAGAGCCCAGACTTCACGAAACAGTTTCTTGTGATCACAGATGCATCTGATATAGGAATCTCTGGAGTATTGAGTCAGAATTTCAAGGATGGTGAACATCCAATCATGTATCTCAGTCGCAAGTTACTTCCAAGGGAGAAAAACTATGCAGTGATAGAGAAAGAATGTCTTGCGATTGTATGGGCCATCAATTACTTGAGATATTATCTACTAGGAAGAAAATTTGTTGTAGTTACTGATCACAATCCACTAAAATGGCTGAATGAAATGCACAACAATAACCAGAGGCTTACAAGATGGATACTTAACTTACAGCAGTATGATTTCAAAGTAGTGCACAGATCTGGCAAACTTAATGGATGTGCAGATGCTTTATCCAGACTGTAAGAGTATACAGAGAAATAACATAAAAACTTAAGTGACAGAGACACTGTTGATATAGAGAAAAGGGTAGTTTTTACATAAAATAAAAAAGAAAAAAAAACTTTAAACTAACTTAGAGAAGACATCTAATGAATTTTATGATCTGCAAGTCGCAGATGATTTTAATCTAAAGCTGGCTGAGTATCGCCATCTCGAAAAAGGGGGGAGATGTGATGTAAACAGAGTAATTATAAGAAGTAAGTGTAGATATTGAGCCAATTTACAAGTAAGTGTGAAAAAGTAAGATTAATTAGTAGAGTAAAAGTTACAGGCAGTTAGTTGAAGTTCAGTTGACCTCAGAGATAGAGTTAGAGAGAAAGGGTATAATGAGAACCTGAGCTGAGATGAGAAATGAAACAATTGATAAACATAATTAGAAGCCCAGAAACCTTAAATAAGAAGTTATATTCAAGAACAAATAATACAAGAAGCAAGCTGTAGAAATATTAGATCAGCATCAACAGGTCGTAGATTCGTTACGGGGCGCCCCCTAGAAGATAACATCAGGACATCCTGTATTCGAAGGTAAAATGAACAGCTTCTTTGGCATAGGCTCAAAGAATAATTCACAAGATACGACACTAAATTGGAAAATTTCAAAAAAATATGACCACCTTTCAAAAATGTTCCTTATACAAAATGGTACCTGCTTCCCCATGACAGATTTTGCACTCATTTTATAGCTGAGATCTTCATCTTTCTATTTCTACTTGTTTGGTTCGAGTAAATAACCTATGGATGCAGTTATTTGACTTTTAATACGGCGAATATTTTACACGAGATCCGGACTCTTGTGTGTCCAAATATCATTGTACTGATGACGTCACATTTCTGGAACCACGGGAGCACCATTCAGATTTGGACAGACAAGAGTCCGGCGATAAAACATCACTGTTTTGGCCTCTTATCAACGCAGCATTGCTTGAATAACGGTCATTGGGGATAAAAAGTTAAAGAATAACAAGATGCTTCGAATGAGGTATGATTTGTCTCATATTTTTCATAAATGGCTCCATAATCGTCATTTTAAAATTTGAAGTTTTCTGAGGTGTCTCATCTTGAGGAATATTTATTGAGCTACTGATCCTACTTACAAAAGAATCTGGCCGGGATCTATGGTATGTAATAAAACAAATAGTGACTGCCTAGTTTCGAGCAATAGTGTAAATGATTTCCCCTTGGGAATATCCTCTAAAATGTACTATTCCCTAAGCCGCAGGGGAAATAATTTACACTATTGCCCTCAATGGCAGTATACTAATAAAGGGACCAGTAGGTCTTGAAAGCTCCAGGCAAAACATTTTAGGTTAGTTTTGAGGAACCCTACTGCAGCTCTAAAATATGTAGAATCCTAGCCACACACCTATCCACCAGACTGGCAAACTAGCACAATTGAGGAACAGAATTATAAAATTATATATTGAGATTTCACAGGTTGCCAATGGACACCTTGGTCGCCATGGAGTATTGGTCGTTGTTCTAGAACTTGTGGTAATAGAACACGCCTGGATACAAGAACGAGAAGATACACTCATTGTGTATCTGGTGCAGCTACAGAAAGACGTACCATGGCGTGTTTTATAAAACCATGTAGTTAGTCCTTTATACTTTTTTTGAGATGATTGAACTCCTACAACACCTCGACTGTTTTTTTCAATTGAGTTAACAGTCTGCAGGTAGTTTTTAAGGATTTTTATCGGAATGCCAGGTGGGCTGCAACAATTACATTCTAATGAGACATGTCAAAATATAAATTGTCTATTGTTGAAAATCTAATTATAGCATAACCATGATTCTCTGCCTTTCTTTTATAGCGTACTGTGAGTGGAGCAATTGGGGACCTTGGGTTATTTTCGAACGATGTAATCCTATCAGCTGTCATAAGCCTGCACATAGAGAACGTATTGAACTATCCAAAACGTCTGGCAGCTCAACTAAATGCGCAGGTTCTTCGATTGAAACTAAGGGTGTTAATTGTGATGATTCTAGGTACTGTTACAAAAAATAGAATTGTATTAACCATTATGGTTTTGACAAAGTAAAAAATACACGATATATCAATTAGTCTATTTTACTATTTTGCAATGTTGAATTTTACCAATGTTCACTGGTCAGTATCTAGCGAAGGTACCGGCCGTCACCTCTGCATTTAAGATGGCAGTCGGGAAGTGTCGATTTCGATGTTTTTAGTTTTCATGATTTGCGATCACCGAATGGATTCTGTCTTTTAGTGACGTCACAATTAGGTCACCCAGCTTTAGATGCTTGATTTTGAGAGATTATCTTCTATATTTCGTGCTTTATTGATTTATTTTTCACGAAAGCGTTCTATTTGACTAGAACAACATTCATGCTAAGCACATATCAAGTCTAAGGTCTTACTGACATGATTTTGATAGCGGTTTAGCGCCCCCCGATTTTGACAAAAACGGGGGGCGCTTATAGGCATCGATGTTTAGTATGAATTTCACCCAAACTTCGCATATATATAGACATACTCATGATCTAGTCAAATCGGCATACCTGGTAAATATCCGACCCATGGTTTTTATATAAGAAACGACAATGTTTTTAGCTCAAAACTGCCACGTGTCCGCCATTTCGTGAGTCCATCATGTCTAATATCATTTCTATATGACGTCATACCAATAAGACGAAATACGTGACAACAGTATCCATAAACAAAATTCCTGAATTCTGATCGCAAAAGGTCAAATTGCCATTTGTCTCAATAATTTAATTGCAACATCATTGACGTTTTTTATAGTAACGGTTGCTATTTGTCTCATTGTTATGTAATAATTATTTCAGTTTGTTTCAAATCTTATTTTATTTCTGAAGAAGTAGGATGGACATCCTACGAAACGTCAAAAGAAAAATAAATGTCTCTGAGAAAGAAAATCAACAACTTTGTTAATAGTACTTTATAGGTTGACCTAATGATTTGATATCTGAACTAAATTCGATGACATGGAAACTCTGGAGTATGATCAGTTGATCGTATATCATGCGTCGGCGCCACATTAAATAATATCTACCACCGCTTACTGGAAGGTAAGTGAAGATAAGAGGAAATGTATGATACGGTAAAGGTCATGAAACCCAAGTCCCAGTAACCTCCATGGCCTTAAGTTGTGGACGATGAACAGACGATCATTCTCCAGAGTTTCCATGTCATATATACCTGGTTTAGTTCTAATACCAAAGCATTATGTAAACTACAAAGTTGTTTAATTTGATGAAAACTATCAAAAGTATCGAAATCAACATTTCCCGTCCGCATCTTAAATGCGAAGGTGACAGCCGTAAACCTTCGTTTGATACTGACCAGTGAATATTTATTCTATGATTCTGTACTACTCTTACAATTATCATCCCATCGAACGAATTTTTGGGGGAAAAACTAAGCTACACCACTACATGTTGAGAAAAATGTCGTTTTGATTTGAGTTGCCTTTTTTCGCTATGTCACCCTTTTGCTTACTGATTCACAGTCTATCCTGTTGATTATCATCATGCTTTTGGGCATCTAGAACAGTCGGTCTATGAAGATCTCTAGCCCATCAGGCATGTAGATGAACTGAAAGAACAAATAATTCGGAGCCATAAACCAATGGCTTCCGCGTTTTAAGCGAATAATCCAATCAGAAGGCGGGCCTAATTGAGCCATAGTTGGGGGGGGGGGGGGGGGTTTGCCCACCCTGTTCATCTTGTTGTAGGCCTAGTATGCCCCATGTGGGTACAAGTTCTGCTCGAAAGGCGAAGATTCATTCCTGATTAGGATTATGATCATACAACAAAAAGATGAAATACATTTGGTATTCTTTTAGTACACCACACTCAGATTGGACATCATTTGCGTACCATAACGTTTATAAGATAGATAGTTTGTGAACCTATGGAAGAATCTGATTTATTAGCACTTTTTCTTTGAATCGTAGAACCACATCCTGCGCTTTCAGAAGCCACGTGTTATTCGAACAGCCCCAGTGGTGCAAAAGAATAGTGCTATAGGCAAATATCCTCTGCAGACAGGTTGCATTTTGAATAAATTTTCATCTTTAAACGCACATAACTCAACAAAATTTGACTATAATAATTGGTGGAAGTGTTTATCAAAGGATGAATTCTAGCAAGCGTCTCATATTTTGCGCGATCTTGTTGCGACACATCATTACATTCTTCAACTCGTAATATCGTTTTTCGGATATATTACGGAGATTGGCAATGTTGTCGACAAATGAGAATTGTTTACATAACACTGGATCGGAATACCCTTCATACCTTCATATAGTCTGGAAGAAATATGGGGTATTTTGAGGATCAATCGTTTTCTTCGGATTACAATGTTTTTTTAACTTTTCAGCATGAATATGGGATTGAGACCTCAAAACCACGGAATGCCGGAGCGGCACTCTTGGGCAACTCTCTACAGAGCATTTCTTATACGCCCCTAATAAAATCTACAGGGGGTACTATAAGACACCTTTATATCTCAAACACTAATTAAGATAAAGACTTGAAATTTTCAGGAAGTATTTCTAGTATGATGCCTAATCTGTATGGCGAAAATCAAGAAAATATATTAATCCGTTGCTATAGAAACAGTTATAGAACACTATCTGTTACCTTAGAAATGTATTATTTTGTGCATTTTCATCATTTCCTTCATATTCTTGATTCTTAAACTCTCTGAAGCATATAGCATGATTAGAAGTAAAGATAAAATAATTCATCATATCATTTATGTAATATGTCTAACATTTGAGTTGCTATGGCAACGTCACTTGATAATCGGGTTCTTACATTTCACTTTCTTTAATGAGTATAAAGGTTGGGTCCATAATAACACAATGTATGTGTTATGCTCTCTAGGTAAAAAAGAGCTCCTTCAGAGGTAAATAGTCACATGGATTTGTAAAAAATGTATAACTTGTAGTTGTAGAACCCCTCCCCACAGCCCCCTAAGTTTGACGATTGGTGAAAACTGGCAAAAAAACTTTCATTTTCTAGGTTCAAATTAAAAATGCATTGGGATGCCACACTTACTGTATAAGTGGTATTTAATCCGAGTAGTTAATTTTCCGAATGGTCAAATTTCATCATTTTCCTAATTTTAATTTTCCTAATTACAAGAAACCTCCCATTGGATAACATTATAAAGACAATATTTCCGACATTTAATTTTCCGAACCTGGCAAAAATTAGGAAATAGGCAAATTAAATGATTAGGCAAAATTACCACTTATACAGTATTAGTACTGAAGGAACATCTACTGACTTTGTCTGATATAACAATATGAAGATTTTAATTATTAGACAATGGGGAGTATTTTATTTGAAACATTTTAGAATCATATCCCATAAAAATGTTGAAAAGAGGGTGTGGTCAATGTTACCATTTTGCAGCATTAAAGTTTGAAATAAATACAAACCAAGGTATTAAAACATCTTCAAATGTTACTTTACATTGATTCATGTATTATTTGTATATAGGACACTAAATTGTAGATTTTATTAGGGGGTATAAGAAATGCTCTGTAGAGAGGTTGGCATAGTCTAGACATTGGCATAATGTCTAATTATTACAATTATTAGTTATTATCATTAATTACAATTAGTTTTTATCATCTGAGCAATCAGACTATGACGGTTATCATGAATGAGCACAGTTCTATATGTAAGTTTAATATTTAGTACATGTATGTGTGGCATACTCTGGACATTGGCATAAAGTCAACACATAAGCATCACAGCACAGTAGAGAGGTAGTTGGCATATTCTAGACATTGGCATAATGTCTAATTATCACAACCATTCGTTTTTCTCATCTGAGCAATCAGACTATGATGGTTATCATGAATGAGTACAGTTCTTTACAAAGTTTTATATTTAGTGCATGTATCATAATGAAATCTAATGTTATGCAGAAGAGAGGTTGGCATAGTCTCGACATTGGCATAATGTCTAATTATTGAAGCCATTAGTTTTTCTCATCTCAGCAATCACATTATCATAGTTATCATAAATGAGTACACTTCTATATGTAAGTTTAATATTTAGTGCATGTATCATAATGGATTAATTTAATGATTGTAACCATATAATTGAGAGGTTGGCATAATCTGGACATTGGCATAAAGTCAACACATAAGCATCTCATCTCATTTGCCAGAAGTCGGTGGTCATATGCACAATTGTATCCTGATATGTTGGGTCAGTCATTTTGGCCATACCTTTCTTATCCCTTTCTTTCCAATCAGCAGCGTCATTTACAATGTGCAAAGCATGGCAAAAATTCCCATTATATAAAACACTTAGTTCTCATCATCTGAACAAATAGCAGAGTCCTTGTTAAGCTATATATCAGAGCCAGGTGTTTGAAAAGTAGGTAAAAAGATTAATGTAAATGACTAAAGATGATGTCTTCAAATTTTCAAGACTCCTTACACATTCACAACAAGCAAATCATGGCAAAAGGTCCTTAAAAACTCTTAGTTCTCATCATCTTAATATATAGCAGAATCCTTGTAAAACCATGAAGCATCAGAGTCAGGTGGTGGAAAGTAGCTAGTGTGAGTGAGTGTGCTCGTGTGAGGTGGTTTCTTTGGTATCTTGTGTGTAGAGTAAACGTTTTCTGGAGTAAGTGGCAACTTAACGATCTGACCACGAATGAAGAAGCAATGTTGGCTGCAAATGTTCACACGTCACACCTGTAACTATGAGCTATAGCAAACCTGGTCAGACTTAATGCATATTGCTGCTTGGTTGACCAATGGAAAGCCATCATTAGTTAATTGTTTTCAATAATCGACATTTTTGCTGCTTTTCAAACACCTGGTTCTGAATTGTAAATGATTCTGCTATATGGGTTGTAAAGGATTCCAATGTCTTGATTGTATGCCAACCTTGCTTGTCTCTACTGTATGATTGCATTGGATTACATTCTGGCACTAAATACAAAATTAACATATAGAATTAAGTGTTCTAAGTAATACATGAATCAATGTCAAGTAACATTTGAAGATGTTTTAATACCTTGGCTTGTATTTATTTCAAACTTTAATGCTGCAAAATGGTAACATTGACCACCATTGTCTAATAATTAAAATCTTCATATTGTTATATCAGAAAAAATAAGTAGATGTTCCTTGAATACTAAAAACTGTTGCATCCCAATGCATTTTTAATTTGAACCTAGAAAATGAAAGTTTTTTGCCAGTTTTCACCAATCGTCAAACTTTGGGGCTGTGGGGAGGGGTTCTACAACTACAAGTTATACATGTACATTTTTTACAAATCCATGCGACTATTTACCTCTAAAGGAGCTCTTCTTTACCTAGAGAGCATAACATGAACACATACATTGTGTTATTATGGACCCGACCTTTATACTCATTAAAGAAAGTGAAATGTAAGAAACTGATTATCAAGCGATGTTGCCATAGCAACTCAAATGTTAGACATATTACATAAATGATATGATGAATTATTTTATATTCACTTCTAATCATGCTATATGCTTCAGAGAGTTTAAGAATCAAGAATATGAAGAAAATGATAAAAACACACAAAATAATACATTTCTTAGGTAACAAATAGTGTTCTATGACTGTTGCTATAGCAACGGATTAATATTTTTTCTTGATTTTTGGCATACAGATTAAGCATCATACTAAAAACACTTCCTGAAAATTTCAAGTCTATATCTTTATTAGTGTCTGAGATATAAAGGTGTCTTATAGTACCCCCTGTAGATTTTACTAGGGGGGTATAAGAAATGCTCTGTAGAGAGTTGCCCAAGGGTGCCGCTCCGGCATTCCGTGGTTTTGAGGTCCCAACCCTATATTCATGCTGAAAAGTTTAAAAAACATTGTAATCCGAAGAAAACGATTAGCTTTGAACTTTCTGCCAGAATAATACCCCTGCTACTTAAAAATCGGTAGCCTATGTTTCATCTATGTCAAAAATATATGATTTGGTGGGATTTATCTATCGTACATGTTTGAACTCGTGTTTTAACAAAACAATAAAAAATCATTAAAATCACGGTTCTGCAATTACAATACAATGTTAAACAATCTAATCAATAAGAATAGCCTTGGTAATCGAATAAATAATGCTGAATATCAAAACACTTGCAGTTAAGATAAATAAAAATGTTAAATGATGACATATTAAACCATACAGTTTGATGATTATTTAAAAATTAGATATTAGATGGCTGTAACAACATGAGTTGATAAATGTGAAGTTAAATGGAGTGTATAAATGCTTTCATTACCTTGTGAATCATTGCATATTGAACTAAATTGAGTATAGGGTGTCCGGGAAGTAAAGATACAAATTCCCTAATTACAATAGATTTACCTGTTGTGAGATGAAATTGCTACAGATAGTACAATGACATTATAATAATTTATTCCACAGTTAGCATGATATTCATAGGATAACATGTCAAAATAAAAACGATATTTTTGTAATCAGTGGTAAAATATGATATTTTTGACAAATTTTCACTTAACCATAGCATACGGTGTTTTAGCTATGACATACGACGCCGTATGCTATGAATTATGGATTTTTGCTACTTCAGTCTCAAAACGAGGCCAAGTGTCAACATCGCCGGGTCGTTTGGAAAATTCGACGATTTCCGACGATTCTGATGATGACTTTAACTATGGAATAAAAAGAACATCATCTATTTATCCTGCAACTGTCGTGAAAAATTGTCTCAAAGTGAAAATGTTATGGTTGTTCTGGTAACAGGAGTCGCGGTATGTGGAACAGCGTCACAATTGTGCCGTATAATTCTTTTTCCTACTCATATCATCTTGACACTCTATCATCTGTTTGTTGCTATTTTACATCAAATCATGTACCACAAAAGCAATGAGTAATGAGTACTCTAACATTATTTGGTCAATTGACATTACTACTGTTATCCAGTACTATCATGTATTTCCCACTATTTTCTAAACATTCGTATTGCATCTTGACCGGAGATTCAAAGACCTGACAAAACCGCTGCTGTCCATCTCTCAGATTGCTGATAACATTGGCTTCAAGCAGAGTCTCATTTTTATGTTGAACTTCTAACAAATAATGCTTTAAGATATTTAGTAATGTAGAAGTCCAATGGGACATTATGAGCCATAGTATAATAAGGTTAATTGTCAAGACATTCAATTGTAAGATTTGTTTTCTTTGCTTTGTGAATTGGTGCATCATGGAGGTGCACTATTGACTTTCCTATTTATCCAGAAAACTTTTTTCTAAGCACTTACATAATTTTTCTTTGATTATACTGGTAAATGACATTACACAGTTCTGATATGTATCAATGATATCATTATACTATGAATACTACAGAATACTATGGCAGCAAGAATACAATATTTTAGCAATTTATCACAATTGAGCGATATCCTGGAACTGCTCCGCATACCCCTCACCACCGTAACCATGACAACCGTAACTTTAACACGTTTAGACTATATGTTCTAAAGTTGGTAGATTTATTGTAATAAAAGTTCCTCTACTATGTGTAGTAATTTCATTGCAAAAACATAATCTCTTAAAATTAGAGTATTTGTATCCGGACACCCTGTATTGCGAATAGCATTGAAAAACTCAAGCTGTTAAACTTATAATACCTAAGATATGATACGTCTAGCACTGATACAAGCCGTATGGTTTGGCATTATTTCGACGAGCCTTTCAGGATTTTTCTTAACGACAGTTGGAGCTGCACCAACTGATAGTGATTTCAAACAACTTATGAAAAAGTGTGATAAACTTTCAAATATTGTCGAAGAACAACAAAGAGATCTTAAAGATCATGCTACCGAAATATCTGCTTTGGAGAGAAACGTCATCAAACTAGAAATTCTCTTTGAACAAATGAACCAAAAATGTAATGAAAAGTGTAAAGTTGTGAAAGGTCAAAAGGGTCAACGAGGAAGGCGTGGATATCCAGGGAAAATAGGTGTTAAAGGAAACTCAGGTGTAAATGGAAGTCAGGGCCCCACTGGACAAAAAGGTGCAAAAGGTGACCTAGGGCCTACCGGGGCAACGGGTTCAAAAGGGCAAAAAGGTGCGAACGGTGATATAGGACCTACAGGAGCAACGGGTTTAAAAGGGCAAAACGGTACAAAAGGTGACATAGGACCAACTGGACCAACGGGTTCAAAGGGGCAAAAAGGTGCAAAGGGTGACATAGGACCTACCGGACCCATTGGCGCAACAGGTTCTAAAGGACAAAAAGGTGCGAAAGGTGACCTCGGACCCATTGGTGCAACAGGTTCTAAAGGACAAAAAGGTGCGAAAGGTGACCTTGGACCCATTGGCGCAACAGGTTCTAAAGGACAAAAAGGTGTGAAAGGTGACCTTGGACCCATTGGCGCAACAGGTTCTAAAGGACAAAAAGGTGCGAAAGGTGACCTCGGACCCATTGGTGCAACAGGTTCTAAAGGACAAAAAGGTGCAAAAGGTGACCTTGGACCCATTGGCGCAACAGGTTCTAAAGGACAAAAAGGTGCAAAAGGTGACCTTGGACCCATTGGCGCAACAGGTTCTAAAGGACAAAAAGGTGCGAAGGGTGACCTCGGACCCATTGGCGCAACGGGTCAAAAAGGTCAAAAGGGTCAAAAGGGTGAAAAAGGAAACTTTGCGGATAGTAAGTACTTACTACTTAAGAAAGCGTTTCAATTGTTTAAACAATATGATCTTAATGCTGGGCTTTCAATAGCAGGGGGCGAGCGCCCGAAATCGCCGTTTGTCAGAAGCCAAATATTCTCTAAGTTTTGGGTGAAATTAAAGGTTTTCTATAGACTGTTCTTTATTTTATTTAGGGTATGAGGTTCCATATCCATCCGCCAAAAGGTATGACCCCTATATAGTCCATTTAAAAACTCATGGTATTGTTCTAAATAACGCCATAGTTGGCTTCTAGGGTACCTAGTATGCCACTATTTGGTATCAAAATATAGAGGAGGAGTTCAACTTTCATTTGAATTACGAAAATAGCGATGTAGGTCAAAAATAGTTCCGACGTGAGCATGCTTACTACGCGTTTGCCCATCATATCAGAATTGAGGAAGTGGTAGCAAACGCGAGTCACAATAAATGGACGCTGATATCTCAAAAAGTAACCTGACTCCCTATAATTTGATGTAGATCAATGGAACCCCTATATGAACAGGTACATTTTGATATATAACACTATGGGGGGTAAGCGTTTTATAGTCGGTCACGAACGCCATATGTGCAAAGTATTGTTATGAATTTTCGAATTTGGTGTTGGATTACGGTACTCATACCTTAATATGAGGCCTAAAATTGTCTGCTAGTTGGCCAGAGACCAAAATTCTAGCAGAATTTGGGAACAGAATCGATTTTTTCGTTCTGCGTAGGGCAAACAATGATTTGAAATCACTTTCAACCATTCTGTGAGTATAAGAATGGTCATAAGAGGCCCGTTGAGGGTCTGGAATAAAAGAAAGCTCTCTGAAATTCCGTCAAAATTGCAGGTTATTTCTTCATTTTTTGCTAAAATTACATGATTTTCAGGGCCCATATCTCAGTGAAATTGCTACAATGTAGCGATTTTTCATTTTTACAGGCTAGATACACGTGTCAGGTCGACAGAAACAGTAAGCATGTGTGATTTTTAAATTGCTACATTGTAGCAATATTTATTTCAAAATACAGGTGTGAGGGAAACTGCAATTTAGTTAGATTTGGGCGAAAATGGCCAAATTTCAGTCAAAATCCTCGGGACACAGGGCCTTTGTCTTAGATTTAGTCAATGATGCAACTCTTAGTAGAAGGTGTGCCATATAGGGAATGAAAGCTGTTTGTCAGACGTATCATTTTCTTCAATAAACTCAGAGATAGTCAGGTTAGATTTGTGACGTCACAGTGGCAAAGTTAGACTAGCATATTTAGACGTATTTGGGGTAGGGCAAATTAACCCTTTCTAGCCTAAATGGATAAATTTTTCACATATTCAGCCATTTCCGACGTTTTTATGCATTTTTGAACTAGAAATGATATTTTCTGCCAAAAAAAGTTGCAGAGACAAAAATCAGTGTGATGTCATAACACATTAAGGTATGAGGTTCCATATCCATCCGCCAAAAGGTATGACCCCTATATAGTCCATTTAAAAACTCGTGGTATTGTTCTAAATAACGCCATAGTTGGCTTCTAGGGTACCTAGTATGCCACTATTTGGTATCAAAATAAAGAGGAGGAGTTCAACTTTCATTTGAATTACGAAAATAGCGATGTAGGTCAAAAATAGTTCCGACGTGAGCATGCTTACTACGCGTTTGCCCATCATATCAGAATTGAGGAAGTGGTAGCAAACGCGAGTCACAATAAATGGACGCTGATATCTCAAAAAGTAACCTGACTCCCTATAATTTGATGTAGATCAATCGAACCCCTATATGAACAGGTACATTTTGATATATAACACTATGGGGGGTAAGCGTTTTATAGTCGGTCACGAACGCCATATGTGCAAAGTATTGTTATGAATTTTCGAATTTGGTGTTGGATTACGGTACTCATACCTTAGCGATCTTATTTTGCATTTCCTTGTTTATGATTTGTGTCTTATTTTCCATGGGACATGCAGATAAATGTATGATTGATACAACTCTGTTCAACCAGTCACAGTACAGTCTTTCCAATGGGTGTAAAATGGTATAAATCAGTTAAAGGTCCAATATAAACTTTGGCTTATCCAATATTATCAAAGTGTGAAATGTAAAGCTTTTTATAAATTTCAAAAATGTTTTTTTGAAGGACCTCTTGTTCAGAATATCGTGAATTTATTAAAAACTAACTTTAAGAGGCTAACTAACACATAATTCACACCAATGCATAGCATTCATCCTCACTTGTTTTTTTGCCGACAAAATTAAGAAAATTGGTCGATAAATAAGCGAGCAATAAACTCATTCAGGGATAAAAGTTGTTCAGGGCAAATGCATTTCGAAATTTTAGTTCTCACAGAAACCAATGGTAATATTTTTTAAAACATAATATATTCATTCTTTTAACCTGGTTAGACAGTCAACATTGGTTTATTTTTTAGTTTAGCATAGAAAAAGATAAACATGGAGAAATGTTGCCACCTAAATGATGTAACGATGAGGTCAGCTAGGTTGCAAAATATTTTCGATATGCTAAAACATTGAATTGGCACATCAGATATGACATTTTTTTTTATTGAAATAGTGTGTCCTTTGATCAATCTTTATATTGGTGTTAAAAATATAATATTTTTTGCTCTGTATAGTGAAATATTTGTTGATTAAAAAATTTCAGCTTTATTTGAAAAATTTGGAATTTGAGAAATGAAAAGCTGACAACTTTCATTTCAAAAACATTTTTATGAAAAAACATGTTTTCAAACTCTACATAGGGACTGTAAAGTCAGCAAATACCTTAAACTTTCAATGTAAATTATATATATATATATATACACAGGATGCATTCTATATTAAAAGTGTTCAATTCAGTAGGTGCATTTGAATTTGTAAACTGCAACCTATGTAAGGGTAAGTTATCTCATTAAAGGTAAGTGACATTCTATATAAGTTGCCATAGTCATTCTACAGTTCAAGGTGTCATTTGTGTATAAGCCCATGTCTTGTGGTCAATCAAATTTAGCCAATATCACATGGGGAAATGACTTTGACAAACCTACAAAAAGTAAAATCCTGGACATCTTTTAAATCACCTCTTAATAGGATTCAAAGTTCAAAACTTTGATTGACTGTACAATAATATTGTATTTCAGATACATTGTCTTTGAAATATAATGATCATCAGCATTTTATATTATTTTTGGCAAAGCCTGTCCATCCCCTTGTTCATTTGTCCACTTTCTGCCCGTGGACAAGAATTTGCATTTCCGGAAGTGTAAAATTGGTTGTTTTGAATGGCGCCCCTTGTTTTTCTCATCTGCCTCTTGTGAAAAAAGTTACTGAAACCACTGTAATGACTACCTACAATTTATTAAACATTTCCAAAGTAATCAATGCTGAATCTAGAATCTAGCCTACTGTAGCTACACACCAATGCATTGAAATTGGAAAACTTATCAAAATGTAGCCAACGTTACGTGATCTTAATTGGTTCTGGACAAATTATTTGATTCTAGATTTGGTATAATTGTTTTTCAATGAAATCCCACCCAAGAGTTAACATTTAATCGGCTATTTTGAGGGCGATTCAAGCCTGACATGACACATTTCTATATACTTCTCTATTATATTTGAAAGGTAACTTATATAAGTGCATTAAGTAAAATGAGGCAAATACTAATTTTAAGTTTATTGTTAAGACGAAATCCAATCCAAATGTCAAGATAAAACGAGCTAATTTATGTGCAAATCCTAACATTAAGATGAAAATATTAAAAAAATCCCATCCAAGGGTCAACGGATTTCTTGACTCATGGAGTCGCAAGGCTCCATCAGACACCTGGAGGTGGAAGTTACATGACATGTGTATATTGACAGTGCCTTTGCATTTCTAAGATTGTCAGAAATGAATTATTTATGACCGTTTTTTAACTCCCTGTCAACAGTCTTATATATTATATTCAACTTAGGAGTTGGAAACAAGAATCTGTATTGCAGCCTGGCATGTTTTCCATATTACCCGTATTTTAAATTAAAAACCTATATGAAAAACAACTGAAAACACCCAACTTGCAATTTACCAAGCATGCAAGATAATAATCATTTCAGTTCGCCAGAGTGGCAAACTGATAAATGGCACAATTTAATACCAGGATTATAAAATTAACGTGAACATTTCACAGGTTGCCAATGGACAGATTGGTCGCCATGGAGTGTTGGTAATTGTTCTAAACCATGTGGTGGAGGGACCCGTCTGGAAACAAGAACAAGAACACATTGTCTATTTGGTACAGCTACAGAAACAAGGACTAAGTCGTGTAACACACAGTTGATATGTCCTAGTAAGCACAAAATAATATACTTGAACTTGCTCAAATTGACATTTTAATTGACATGAAAGTCTGCCATTACGACCGAATAATACAGAGGGTCAAATAAGTATGTTCTCTCCCCTTAACTTTTTTATTTTTAAAGTTATCATACTTTTCCATATACATGCTGATCACCCTTAAAAATCAATAGTGAACTCTTCCTAATAGAATTGCTATAATGTTTCTTGAAAGGATGTAGTTGACCATTGATTGCGTCAAAAAGAGTAAAATTACCAGGGTGATGAACGAACGGTGAAAAGTTGATAATGCGATTAATAAGGACAGGGTCGAAAAATTAATCGAAGATCAACCAGAGGAGAAACTTTATAGCCATGAAACATTAATCATTATCAAATGTATCAAGAAAGCTTTTAGAAGCCTTGAAAGTGCAACACCCCTGTTCGTGAACATTTTGGAATCGTATCCTTGTAGAATTGAGACTGTCCAAGCTGCTTTGGGTAAACATATGAACTATATAAAAAATGTGAAATATGAACATCACTAAAAATGCTCTTAAAAATTGAAAGGAGAATGTAGGTTATCGCAAACAATTTCAGAAGGTTATATCTTGGATTATGACTATTTTCTGACAATGAAGACAGGTTTATCTTTTAGATCAATTCATTATCTCAAAGAAAATTATATACAGTAATAATAAAGTCAAACAAATTCAGAGATATTTAACTAGCAATCAACCCATCAATACACTTTTCAAAGATGTTGACCCCATTTTCACCAAAAATGCAATTATTTTTTACAATGTTTAATGCATTACTATTCTTTATTGTGATGTATCAAATGTTGCATTTTTGGTGAAAATTTGGTCAACATTTTTGAAAAAGTATGTTGATCGGTCCATTGACCCTTCAATATCACGTCTGATTAACTAAATGATCACTATATAGACTTTTCTTGAAGATAATGAATGGATCTATTTAGATACACCCATGTTCAAGTTAGAATCGTTTGAAATTGTTTGCGATAACCGACGTGCTCCTTTAACCAATCTCTCTGAAATTTGGTGTGTGATCAGCAAATTAAATTCCCTTTAAAGTTAAGTGGGGAGAACAGACTTATTTGACGCCCTGTAGATAACCGCAGTTCTGTCACCAAACGATTATATATTGCTCCTGTATGGTTTATGTAATTCATAATTATTAAAACTAGGATCCCACTCGTCCCACTTATGACACTTTACTGAAAGATTCAGGTAAAGTGTTGTGAAAAGACACTTTCGAATGGAAGAAGTTATTTTGATGGTCAAACGCTGCATTTTGGCATGGTTTTGTAAACCGTTTGTTGGGAATATACACTTTTTAAAGTGTCACCCACTGATTTATTGTATATATATAGGTTATTTACTGGGAAGGATTGAATATGGGTTTTATTCCAAGGGACAATATGATATTGACCGAAGGGTAATATGATATTGACCGAGGGAGTGCAGCGACCGAGTGTCAATATCATATTTCCCAAGGTCAACATCATATTTTCCGAGGAATGAAACCCATATTCAATCCCGACCAGAAATAACCTATTTATTCTATAATACATTCCACTAAAATGTTATATTTTGATAATGCTTTTATCAATTAGGTAAGGTTAAAGATAACAGGAAAACCAAAAATAGGTTAGTACGTTCCAATACGATTTTTTCCCGGGGACAATACGATTTTTTCATGTGATACGCTCCAATACGATTTTTTCCCGGGGACAATACGATTTTTTCATGTAATACGATTCAATACGATTCTTATTCCTTCATATTTCCCTGGGAAAACAGTAGTATTATGGAATAAGTGTGTGTATATAAAAGGAAATAAACATAAACATTTCAATATGGGGTTCTGACTCCTGGAACCGCTACTCTAGTCAAAGGATAATTGTAAAAAATATGAGTATTAGTTAACATGGTTTTCTGGTTTTCTTTTATAGAAAAATGTGTGTTGAGCACCTGGGGAGCTTGGGGAGCTTCTGGACCATGTGACGAGTCTTGCACACTGCAGCCTGCGCGTAGAACACGTACCTTGGGCAAATGTCCAGGTTCACAGTCTGAAACCAAGCTCGTGCGCTGTAATTCTCTTGATTATCGTTATGGAAAATGTGAGAAGGTTCCCCGATGACCGTCATCGTTGATGCTGGGAGAATCGAAATGTTTCAAGATTTAGCTGTCATGGCCTTTGATGAGAATTTCACTAAGAAATAAATGCCAAGTAAACAAACAAATCAGCGAATGTAGTTTTGATTCGGTCGCTGGATTTTGATCTTGATTCTCAATATTCTGTATGTAGATGAAGCTCTCTTTAAGAAGCAAAATCAAATGCGAATTGTATTAACTCTAAGTAACTCTAAGTAATGTCAATTTTGTGACGGATTTTCTCGTCCCTCTGGGCACCAGTCTTATTTCATTTGTGACGGATATATCCGTCACTCTGGGTATTCAAGAGGTATAACTACAGTGCCTCAGACCAGAAATGAATCGAACGTTCTTGGACTGACAAATTCCTAACAATTGAAGCGCTTATAGGAGACATTACAATGAAAGCTGGAAAGTGGGGAAAACAAATATGTGAAAGCATTTTTGTGATAAAACAAAATAGCTAATTGCACATCCAACATACCGTTTGCTTATCTAATCTTCTTTAAACTATTTGAAACCATAATTTAATTTAAACAATCGTTCTGGGACTGAGATTTTCAATACAACGCACTGAACGCATAGATTTTTAGTTATTAAATAATTTGAAGTGCAATACAGGATGTATTATGTTCGAGAAATTCTGTACTGGCACGTGAATTGGCTGAATAATAAACACTAGCAGTTCAGAAATAAAATGATGCTATATTAAAACATTGATGGACTAAGTTAAATGGAGTATGCAAATGTCTACATTACTTTTTGAATTATTACATATTATAAACTGAATATTCAATATTAAATTTATGAAACAACTTCATTGCAATTGCAAACAACATTGAACACTCTGACTGTAAAACTTATAATATCAGAGCTATGACAAATTTAACACTCATGCACGCTGTGTGGATTGGGATTACTATTTTGAGCTTTTCAGAATTTTCTTTCACTGTAGTTGGAGCGGCACAAACTGATGATGAAGTCAAACAACTCATAGAAAGGGTTGATAAACTGGAAATCCTTGTAGAACAATTGAGTAAGCATTAATATTATCACTATATGTATATAATCTACACGCTACTCCTATTTGAAGTTAAAAACGACGGCTGGGGAGAAAATCTTTGTGTGAAACTGTTTCACATTGTACTAAGAATGTAAAATAATAATTTCTAGATTTTTTAGATATCGAGACACCCTTCTAGCTACTCACTCATCCACCAAACTGGCAAGCAGTTCATAATAAATTACAATTTAATAACTGAAATAAGAATTATCTAGGCTGCAAATGGACAGATTGGTCGACATGGAGTATTGGTCGTTGTTCTAGCTCATGTGATGGAGGGACACGTCTGGATAGAAGAACCAGAAAATACACTCATTGTGTATCTGGGACAGTTACAGAAACAAGGACCGTGGAGTGTAACACACACATAATATGTAAAGGTAAGCACAAAATAATATACTTGTACTTGCTCAAATTGGCCTTTTAATTGACATGACAGTCTGCCATTACGACCGAATAATAGACAACCGCATTTCTGTCATCAAACGATTAAATATATTGCTCCTGTATGGTTTATTCGAAACTAGGATCCCACTCATCCCAAATGACATTTTACTGAAAGGTTCAGGTAAAGACAATTTCATAAGAAGTTATTCTGATGGACAAACGCTGCATTTTGGCATGATTTTGTAAACTGTTTGTTGGGAATATACACTTTTTAAAGTGTCATCCACTCATAACCATAAACATTTCAGTATGGGGTTCTGACTCCAGGAACCGCTACTCTTGTCAAAGGATAAACTGTAAAAAATATGAGTATTAGTTACCATGGTTTTCTTGTTTTCTTTTATAGAAAACTGCCTTGTGTGGAGCACCTGGGGAGCTTGGGGAGCTTCTGGACCATGTGACGGGTATTGCACACTGCAACCTGCGCATAGAATACGTATCCCGGTCAAATGTCCAGGTTCACAGTCTGAAACTAAGTTCGTGCGCTGTAATTCTCTTGATTATCGTTATGGAAAATGTGAAAGAATAAGGTTCCCCGATGACCGTCATCGTTGATGCAGGGAGAATCGAAATGTTCCAAAATTTAGCTGCCATGGTCTTTGATGAGAATTTCACTAAGAAATAAATGCCAAGTAAACAAACAAATCAGTGAATGTAGTTTTGATTCGGTCGCTGGATTTTGATCTTTCTCAATATTCTGTATGTAGATGAAGCTCTCTTTAAGAAGCAAAATCAAATGCGAATTGTATTAACTCTAAGTAATGTCAATGGGGGGGGGGTGATTGGGGGTATAGGGGTAAAGTTATGATGGTCGGAAGTTTATGCAAAATATTATGCTGTTTCTTATGGTGTAGAAAATGCAATCATTACTGCTCTGTTTGATAAATAATCATTTAGCACATTGAATTTCCGTTCAACCTGCTTTATTTCATGAAAATAGAGCCACTTTTGGAACACCCTGTATTATGAATTGTCAGAGGTAAAATACAGTTCACCAAATTTTAAGATACACCCCGGGAATTAATTTGTTCTTCTCGTACCGTGTACATACAAGGAATTGTTTACCTTTTCCCAGCCGTGAACAACAGAGTTACACATGTTTAGTTTTTTGTCTGATCACTACAAATAATGGTAGCACATTTAGTATTTAGTGCTTGCCGAGAAGAGTACCACACTTTTACAACCAAAATGTGTACTAATTATTTTTATGATTACAAAATCTTTGGAATTAGGTGAAAACAGCTTGAATAGATATTGCAATTGAAACTGGAACTTTTTGGATGACCTTTGTGAAGAAATGCATTAAATGAGACAATTTGGGAGAAAAGAGTGAGGCATTTTTGGTAAAAAAAACACATGGATGTCCCATCGGAAACAAGAAACTCTGAGCTTCTTGTATCGAAGCTTGGTACAGTTGTACAGTACAGTTGTCCTAAGTCTTAATGTTATCCTGTTTTATATCCTTGCCCTTAGGCCTATCCCCATAATCAGTTTTTTCTTGTTCGTTTTCAGAAGTGTACAGGTTCCACGACTAGAGAGTGTTCATTTTATTATTACTTTAATGGATTTTCAGACAGTATTGTATCTCATTTGAGTTCGACTGAATACTCCATGACATTTTTCCAATCAAACATTTTGTTGGATTTGAGTGCAGGCCTTTTAACACATTACATTATGAGTCGTTTTGTAAAATAGCGCCCTTAACCTGCGCGAATGTTTCATACCAATTTCAGAGGACAGTAATATATAGTACATGCTTAAGTAAATTGATTATTCTTTCCATAGACACTTAATGATCAAAACACCATAGCAGCCTCTTTATCACCTGGGATGAACTGAAAACGAAGACATCAAATCATCGTTTTAACATGGTAGAACTTCTGAAAGCGGAACTTGGAAAGATTTTTTGTGTTGGTTTAAATGTTTTATCCTCCTGTTTTCAATTACATATTTGGCAGTATGTAGTGTGTAGATTTTCGTTTCGAAATATGATAAACATTGCCTAATTATTTGGATATTTTCAAATCAATTTCCTTCGCTTAGGAAACAAAGTTTCCACTTTGTAGCAATAAAACAAAAACAAAGACAAGTTTTACTGTATACGAGGGTTGTCCCAGAAGTAATGCACTAAATGCTCTAACTTTCTTTAATAATCTTCAATTCAGCTGGAATTTTGTGTATATAACAATTGAAGTTTTATCTCTAATATCCTGAAGTTTCAGCATCAAACATTAATATTAAATCTTAATATGGTTGCTATAGCAACATGGGGGTATGGGTGGACGGGGCAGGTATCAATTTTTCTAATTATGAAAAGATCCAAAGTGTTATTTTATTAATATTTCTTTCTTTTAAATGATCAAAATGTTTGGAAATTATTAAATTTACTCAGCATGATGTTAAGCAAGTACAAATAATGACATTTAGCACTGTGATTTTATAATACCACAGTTCAATAGTAACAAATTCAAATTCAGTCACAGTCAAGAAATTGCAAAAATGGCTGCAATTCTCACCTGATAACCATAAGGCATTGCGTTTGGCGGCCTAATTTCATACTTCACTTGGACTCACAGCCACACAAACATATGCTACCATGAAGAAAGTATAAAAAGAATATACACCAGATAGAACTACAATTATGAGGTGGCAGAAGATGATGACTGGACCCTGGATGACAACTCCAAACATGGGAGGCAAAGGCTCCACAAGTCACAGTGGAAGAAATTGCTAAGAGTGTTTAACCCAACAGGCATTAAAAGTACATAACATGTAAAGGGCAATATTTTGAGAAAATGTGAAATGGGACACTGTACAATATACATCCATTAAATCTAGGATGTGCTCATAGTAATCTAGTATCTTAAAATGTATTTTTGAGCATACTTATTACAGCTACAGAAAATGGTATTTGTTAATTAATTATTTCATATTCTCATATTCTCCTTTTTGACGTGACTGTATAACCTGCCCCACCCTACTACCCAAACTCACCAACTTGATTTTATTATAACATCAAATCTAATTTTATTTCTGAAGAAGTAGGATGGACATCCTACGAAACGTCAAAAGAAAAATAAATAAATATCTCTGAGAAAGAAAATCAACAACTTTGTTAATAGTAACATCAATATAGTTTTATCAGTCAACATGAACATTTGTAGAATAATCAAGATGTCTCTGAGGAACATTTACTGAAAATTTCATGGAAAATATCAATTATTGATAAAGTTAGAGCATATAGTGCATTACTTCTGGGACAACCCTCGTATAAAAACGTAACGTTATGATTATTATACGGTACAAATAAAAAACTGCCACCGATGTTTTTAAACTTTGGCAGTTATTGTATTGTTTACTTTAAATGTATTAAATTTAAATAAAAATCTTATCAAGAGCATTCGTGTATGTGTCATCTTTATTTATTGGTAAACTTTCCACTGGAAAAAAATCTTGCAGTTTTATTGAAGTTTCTAGTAGATATCACTTTCTCCTAGACACGACTCATATTTGTTCGATTAACTGTTGTGCAAATACGGCCGTTTGTAATGTTCCAGCATACCTTATCGATATGACGATGTACTAATATATAACAAATTATGTTCGATAAGAAACTTCTTCATATACATGCATTCTTAAAAGGATCAGATATAGTATGACAAGTGATTTTAGACGGCCATATATTTTACCGTGCGTACTTTCTCAGTTTACATATAGCATTGCTCATTAACACAACATGTTATATTTGAAGTAAATTTTCAAGGATAATATAAATATCGATCGAAAATTTCGAAAAATTGAAAATGACCATATGTTAACATTTTTTCAAAATGTTGAACCTATTTACTCAAAGAGGGTCTTTGTCTAAATCTGGTTATTGAGTAGATAGATAATGTTGAAGGTCCAACTTACGTACCATACTCATTGTCTAGATCTTGCGTGAATAATGTTAATCGAAACACGGCACAAAAACCAACGTTTTCTACTAGCCATGGTGATTCTTACAGTAATAAAAGTACTTCCCTTGCAGAAGTCTCTCAAATGAAAAGTTCGTCCGCACACTCTTTATCAAATTTGGGCGAATACTTATTAAATAGTCTTTACACATTGATGGCATGAGATAAGTTTCAGAAATATATAAAGGCTAAAAAATATTTAAAATATTAAAATTATTACTAACACACCCGAGTCAGGCTGAGGTGAATAGACGAATGAAACATTTGACCGCGCACGAAACTAAAATCACCTAACAGATCACATAGCGTGAGACGAAACCAAGAAAATAAATTGTAAACTAAAATCACTGTATACATGATATAGGAGATCCACATGGAAAAATACGTTTTCAAATGAATTTATTTTCAATCTGCAATGTGTGTAAACTCAGTATGATAAAACCTAGTTTAAGTATATGGGTCAATCTCATAGAATGTCTTTCTGCATTGTTGAATTAGTTTCAGTATAAAGGCAATTCACAAAGCAATTCTTTTTCATATGCACAATCTGCGGCCTTTATTCTAACTTCATATGCTTCAATCCCTACAACCAAACAATCCGTTTTGTTGGTATCGCTTGCTTCTCTACTACCATTCGTCCATGCAGGGAAGTCATCGCTTAGAGTTATGTTGATACCTATCCACCTCCAGGACCCTTCTTCAACAGCATCTGTTGCCCCGACCCAGTATACATATCTTCCGGTGTCTGGAAGAATCACAAATCCTTTCAATTATACTATTATATCAGTTCAGTTGGAGCTCTTTGTGCTTGCTGAGCACATTGACTTAAAGGCCCCATGTTAAAATTGAAAATATGTTTTATCCTTCATTTACTATTTTTCATGACTTATTATTATTTTAGAATCAAATTTCCAAATGCATTCGTTTTGCAAACATTTGAATTCAATATGACTATCATACGATGTAGTTTTTTTTAGCTATTTCAAATAGCTCCCGATGTTGATTGAAAAGTTTATTTATAAAATGTGTCAATTCGTTCACAATTTCATTATCATCAGAAGTCATTAAAAACTTCAATTTTTTCATTTTTCATCCGACATGTTTTCAAACGTGTCAATAAAACTTGTAAAAAGTGTGTGTATTAAAAAATTCATATCTATATCTTTATAACATCACAGAAGAGAAATATGGGGACAGTATCCTGCTCGGTGACAAAATTTGCAACACTAACATTTAAAAATGTGTCTTGCTTGGAAGCAGTATGTTATCTAATGCATTTGCTCCCACCTAATTTCGAGAACCGTCTATCCTGGAGCATTAATAACCTAAGTATGTATACAGGTAGGTTATCTTCTAAATATTTTCATATCCATATTGCAAATACAAATGTAGTACTTGAAAATTAAAATTGCAAATTTGAATTATTTGAAAAGTAAGTTCTTCAGTACCCTGAGCGCGCGAGTCTAGTTATACTCTAAGAAAAGGCTCTCTTATGAGAAACGAAGTCGAACGAATGCAAAGGGTAAAACTCGAGATAAAGTACATTAATCCTGAGAATAGGCTACTAAACCAAAATATTACAATTATGGTGTTGTCTGCGCAAAGTATTCAGTTCGTCCATACTGTCAAGTACAGCTAATTCGGAGCCCATGGCTTGACAGTGCTCTCTTGCTGACGTCCAGTTCATCTTTCTGGTAGCATTCCTAAAGTAGCAGGATCCCGGGTAAAAACCATTGATGAATTCTCCCGGGCATTCTAAAAAAATACGTGTGAGTATCATCAAAAACTCAAGATCAACCATTTACATTTATTTTGATTCATGGTTTCATTCATCTGATCTTTTCCATGGTTCAAAAGAAAGAGAGAGAGGGAGTATTTGGACCCCCCTTGCGATTTTTTCTTTGAAAATGGAGGTCAACGTGACCTAGGGGTGTAATTTTTTGACATTTTGAGAAGAAATGTAAATTTTCTTTCCAAATCAATGCTTTGGTTCCAAAAATGATACGTTTACTTAAAAACAATATGTTATCTTTCAAATGAAACTAAAATCAAGGTAAATGCTTTCAGTAATATTTTCCATAACTAAACTTATGCTCTTTTAAGTATAGCAGGCATCTCTAAATCCGATGAAAACAAAATTAATATAACACGAAATTGAATAATCGACAATTTTTTTGTCCTTAGCATTCATATTTCAATATATACAACGAATGTCAATCAGTGATTTTGTAAACAAATAGATAAATGTATGATTTTCGTCCATAATTTTGCCTAGCAACCACCTAGCAATGACATAAACATCAAATGAAAAATTGGGGGTATGGGAGAATAAAAAAGTATATCTGGGGTATGCTAATAATTTTTCAAATTGTGTAAATGGTAACTCTTTTTAAATCAATAGAATTTTCTCTTTGATGAATTTCCAATGGTATAATTTCAAGCACAAGGAAAGTTAATCATTAATACACACCTTATTGGGGTGTTTTGGCTTATATACAAGCCAATGAGGTGCGTATCAACTTTCCTGTTATCTCAAAATCTGCTTGGAACTATACCATAGATATAAAAAGCTCCCCAGATTCATTCTACATATAACTTGCGGTCCTTTTAAAGGTACATGTATTCATCGAGTAGTTTCTGCAAAATCGTTTTTCCCTCAAATTCGTGTTTCGAAAATATTTGGCGAGTACCTGTCTTTACCTTCAAAAAATCATAACATAACCCTAATGTCTGCAGGGGGTCTCGATTTTTTCAAGAGTACTTTTTGCAAATGTTTTTTTGCGTCTCTGTTAAGCTTGGGCAACAGATGTAAGACACTTTTTTGGCGTAAAAACCAAGGTGATTGGGGGTAGAGATGCAAAGTTATGATAGTTGGAATTTGATGCCAATAAGATTGAAATTCATGAAATATTGATTGTTACCTCGTTTCTTATACTCCAGAAAATACAAAAAGATTATTATTGCCCTGTTTGATAGATATCATTGTAGAATATTGAATTCTCTTTCCAATATGCTTTATTTCATATAAGGATAGGTATCGATATGGTGAAATGAATTCAACAATGTTTTTCTCTTCAACCAATTTTGAAAACATTCTGTAAAAAAACACGATCCTTTATGTAATGTTGACTAAATGACAACAATTTAGTGCGATACTTATTTATATATATTTTATATAACTGTTTTTGTTAACATTTTTTGTTTTCAGTGCAATTGTTTTTTGTTCCTTTTACTACCAATTCTTCAGAATGAAATAAAATGTATTTCCGAACCTTGTTGGAACAAAATACCATATACAACATTTTCTTAGACCTCTCAATATTATAGTTATACAATAGACATAGACATACGAGGGGTGATCAATAAGTAATGGACGCTTTTTTACACAGATACTTTTTATAGACCAATCCCTTTGATTTTCCTACCAGTGATACATCATTCAATTATCTATCATTTCTGAGGATTTGAAGACAAAATATAAAATACATGTTGATATATCTTTATTTCCTTGAAGGAGGTACAGGTACTCCGGGACCGACATTTACGTCACATATTCAGATTTCAGCCAGTTTGGCAAATTTCAGTTAGATTTAAACTTTTCCTATGCAACATTTGTTGTGTTGTTTGAAATACTTTGCTGACTGGTCAACACATAAACAGAAAGTGTTGTGATGTCAGAGTGATGTATGGAAGGGGTTTGCAGGTCAATTTGAGAAAGCATTGTGGAAGAAAGGGGTGGTGAGAGAAGGGAACACCCTACTCCATATGGACATTGCACCTGCCCACAGATCTCAAAATGTTCAGAAAACAATATCCCTGGACCTCAAAATTGAGCCCTTGGCCAATGCACCGTATTGTCCAGATCTGCTCACATGTGACTTATTTATTTCAATACTACTTATTTCTATAGAGAAAGGATGCATGTTTATTGATATTGATGAAATAAAACAACCCGTGCAACTGCATCTTGCTACCATGTCAGAGAATGGATTCAGCCTTGTCTCACAATCTTGAATTAAGAGGATGAGGAATTGTGTACATGTAGCACTTGATGGAACCTATGTAGAGGGCTCTGTGGAATGAATGTGGCATGAATACCACATAGTGATGATAAAATATTCAAAATCAACTATGGCATAACAAAATGGGGTAATTCATGACCATAATGGTTTGTTTTGTTCAGCCTGCATTCAACTGCAATGCATGTTAAACAAGCTAAAATAGCTTCAGAATGTTTGACGTAAATGTCGGTCCCGGGGTACCCATACATCCTTCACAGAAATAAAGATATATCAAAAGATATTACATGTTTTGTTTTCAAATCTTCAGAGTTGATAGATAATTGAATGATGTATCACTGGTAAGAAAATCGAAGGAATTGGTCTATAAAAAGCATCTGTGTAAAAAAGCGTCCATTACTTATTGATCACCCCTCGTACAAAGGAAATTTTGGTTAATTTAACAAAAAGTATGCAAAAACTAACCCCCCCCCTGAATTAGTTAAAAATTAAGATAAACCTTTTATTTCATTAACAAGATACTTTTTTTTAAAATCAACCAAACTTTCCTTTGTACAATTACAATATTGAGAGACCTAAACACGTTGTGTTTATGTCATTTTGTTCCAATGAGGTTCGGATAAATGTTTCATTTCATTCCGAACACATGGTACCAAGAACAAGAGAAGTGTCTGATGTGTTTTCTAAAACAATATAGAGAAAGTGTATATATATATTTTTCAAATTATAATGTTACCATTCAAAAGATGACCATTAAATTGACGATGCGTAAATTTTTCAGATTTTGTTGATGACCGAATGTGTGTTCAAAAGGTTCACCATACCGATACCACTCCTTTAAGCCACTTTTGATGGTGTTATGAATTTATAAAGGTAAAAACAGTTCATCGCCAAGTTTTTTGCATATTTCTGAATGCCTTAACAAACTATTGGAATGAATTATGATAATACCATTTTCCAAATTTCAGATATAGTTTTTTCAATTTCACTATTTCGATGTCTGTGACGTTGCTAGGTGGTTACTAGGCAACATCATGGGTCGACATCATATTGGAACAAACAATACCAAGTCATGCATTCATACATCTGCACGAACTCCCATGCAGTGTCTCGGTATAGACACTGCGGCGGGCAGATGAAGAAAATCCCCAAAATTTGGTGAAAATAGTTCCACTTTTCATCAATTATATATGTGGTCAATTTTCACACAACTTATAAAGTATGTATTCATGAATGTTTCCCAATCATTATTTTGTCAAAATACCTCAAAATTATTGATATATGAGAAGAAATCACCGCGGAAGGAATTCTGAGTAAAAGTTGTGTTGATAATAGTTTACCGCACGTGTTGTTTATTAGTTAATACGCGCAATTCAACCAATCAAATTGTCTAAATTTTACAATCACGTTACCATGCTTACGGTGAGATACCTGCCCGCCGTAGTCACTGCACGGGAGTTTGACATCTGCATGCTAAATCACTGATTGGCATTTGTTTTACATCTTGAAATATGAATGCTAAAGACAAAAACAAGTTGAACTTGAAATTGAATTTCACGTTACATTGATTCCAATGGGATTTCGCGATACCTGCTATCTTTGAAAGTGTATAACTTTAGCTCTAGAAAAGCTTTTACTATCATTTTAGTTTTATTTGAAAGATAATTATAAATAATGCTTGAAGGCACCGAACCACAAAAACAATTATTGTGAAGGAAAATTTATTACAAAATGTCACAACAACCCTAGGTCACGTTGACCTCGATTTGACATTTGTTGACCTACTTTAAAAAACTTTCTGAAGAGGTAACTGAATAAGGTCTACAACAATACCAACAATATTGTATTAGAAACAAGGTAACAATCAATATTTTATGAATTTCTTTAGCCGTCTACCCCAAATCAACTTGGTTTTTACGCCAAAAGTGTCTTATATATGCGGCTTAAGAAAAAAATAAGGGAGAAACAAAAGCATTGCAAAAAGTATCGTTGACCACCCCCTTTATTTTTACCATTCTTGACAGCATGTTTCCAGTTTTCGTCTTCATCGACTGTTCTGGACATTTTGTAATATTCATCGAATTCCTTTATTTCACACGCCCTCTCAGCCTCGTTGTAGTTGACTGCTTTACAGTCAGGTTGTGAGCACATGCGCACGCATTCCATTAGGGTATTCGCTGCTCCGATGTGAATATTTTCTTGCACATTTATTCCATCGTTTAGTATCATTTTCCCAGTTTTTAGTATGTAGGTACGCGTCTTGTCATCAGCGTTAGAAAACATTGTAATTTGAATTAAGAGAACGGCGTGTATCCAATGTTGAATTAACCAGTTCATTTTAATTTCTTTGTCTTAATTCCAGTAATGAACAGCAAGTTTTTTCTTCAAGTTTCTTCAAGATCCAATCACTTAAAATATCAAATAAGTCATAAGCCACTTGGACAGTGGACACGCTTTCACATTCATAACAATTACATGTACGTACCCAATACTAGAATATAAGTGACGTCAGACATGCAAGTAATGGAATCACTAGTAATTATTGTTGTATTTATGAATAAAGTCCGTTTGTTTTATTCATCAATTTTTATTAATTCACCGAAAATGATTACCTCATTGGACGATAATGGACATTGATTCTACTCATAATCATTACAATCCTAGCAGTTGACATGCCATGTTTATACAAAAATCAGTGGTCATTAAAGTTTGCCGCAATATGATCAACATTTGCCAATAAGTGCATTTAATGAGTATACATAAACGAATTATACTTATCTCTCATATTGATTTATTTAGAGTTCTGGTTACACTTATAATTATTGAGGCTTTTATCAGCAATAGGCGAGGAAGGAAGGCTATTAGGTGTACTCCATTTGGTATACTTATAGGGGAACATTTACAAATTCATGAATGACTAGTTCTATGACATATGTTCTTTGAAAACTCATGATTAAAGCACATTTTAAAATGTTTTGAAATGAAAAATGAAAACAAAATTTCTTTTCTCTGGCCGTTTGACCTCAAATCAGACTAAGAAGAATGGTATTTCAGTATTCTATATACTGAGAACATGTACGGGTTTCTTTCCCCATTATCCCACCGAACGAAGTCTTATCGTGTATTAGAGACATGGAATCAAACGCCTTTCATTTCTCTTTCGACGTTACTGCTGCATATCATCACATTTTCTGATGATTATATCGTTCTGGACATTACAGCTGGCTACCATCACATTTTTGGGGAAAATCAAAACATTTTTTCTCAAAACTTCATATATTTGACCAGGTCTTGGTAGTTGTTTTATAAACATATGAGCAATATCTAACTCGGGGCAAAATAAGTATAGCCACAGTCAGTCGAGTCGAGTCGAACATAAAACTATTGCTATGGTAAATCAATCACCTGATCATACTTCAAACTTCTAAATATAAAGGATACATTTATTGTAAATGTAAAACATTACGGCTTCTCCAATTAATAAAACAAGGATAATCAATCTAAGCAATAAAAGCTCAGGCATTTTAAGCAATGCTGAATTATTTTACACGTGCAAGGCATAAAAGGGTGTGACATCGAAAAGTAAAGTTCGTTGATTAATTTCAAAATAAACATTCGATGTTTGTAACAACTGATTGAACTTTAGATATATAGAGTTAGAGTATGTCTACATTACCTTTTGAATTATTGCATAGTATCAACTGAATTCAACATTGAAGTTGTTAAACAACTTAACTGCAATATTGCAAATGCATCATTTAACACTCCAGTTATAACACATTAGCCTTGCCCAAGTCGGTATTTTTTACTTATCTGATCTTGAATTATTACCGCCTTGTACAATCCAATACATCTCCGCTGATATTATGCTGAGATATTCAACGGTTTCGAGATTTCTATAATACAAACGCTATCAGGGGTATCGCGAAACCTTATTGATTGACAAATATACGCGTGGACACGACGCGTGACTTCAGGCTGATTGACCAATCGAAACGTCATCAGGTTGACCAGCTGCCTTAGCAAAGCAATCTTCCCGTCTACGACTTGAAATTCAATGATTTGACCGATCGTTTCTTTAGAGTTACAATATATTATGTAATTAAATGTACATAGGGAATGTAAGAGTCATTAATATAAATTAAATCATGCAATAGATTTAAAACTGATTTCGCGATGAAAATGCAAGACCTTAATAATCCAATGTAGCGGGTCATGTAGTCGTCGATCAGTGATTGAATCTCAGCATACATGTTCATTTGAATTCAGCGATAGTTTCAACGTTTATTGTTGAAATCTTCTCACCTCCGGTTACCGATCGAGGCTTTGTATAAAAAACCTCCTACCCACGTACCCTCGTACCCACGTACGTGGGTCCTGACCCAGTCTTTAAAGAGTTAAATCTTTAACATTTTTTAAACATTATTCTATCTCAATATGTATGCTTAATTATGGATGAATTTATGTACCCATATGCCTTTATTTCTAGATCGGACATCTGTCTCGTCATAAAATAAAGCCGGCATTGCATAATGTTCATTTGAGCTATTTGAGTGTTGTTTTTGATATATCGAAGCGATTTTTTGTTGATCGGGCAGTCTTACAGTGTACAACCAATCTATTGCTTGGCGCAAATTGGCCACATGGGGCATGTGTTGTAAAGTGCTGTAGTTTTTGACTCCATGAGCAGAATATGGTCAAACTTTCACAACAAAATTCACATTGAATGACCTGAATGATTCTGGATTGACGAAGTTATTCAACTTTTCATCGGTCCTGTTTTTTAACACCCTGTAGTTTCGATTTTTATCACATATACTTTTTATTCTTTCAAACGATATTACAAGTATTCATTGTTTGCACGACAGATTTGAACTATACGTGTAATTTGTCTTATGTCTTTTATTTAATTTAACATCAGAATTGGAGATACAAAGTGATAGAGTGATCAATTCACACGATCTCAAGGAATAATAAAGGGTGCATTTCTGTTTAACTGTGGCGCAATTGAAAACGAAATATTTGAAAAGTAGAAGGATTCGCTTTATTCGTTTTTAATCGCTTTTTGGCACAATTTAAGGATAATTGTGCGCACTAGTTCAGTGAATCATTTAGATGGAATTAAAAGTTAGAGTTGCCAAACTTATGCAGGGGAGTGTAAGTTTGGTTTTGTAAACTTCGACTTTATCATGTTTATTATGGCCGTTTGATCCATAATTAGGTAATATGAAGAGTAGTTTTATTTTGACAATGATTTGATGTAAAACTGGTTTGAATGATAAAAGTTCAGCTTTTATAAACATCTAATTAAATGTGGTGAATTTAATTGGTTGGAAACTCTAAGAAATATATTTTTAAAAAGATGTCAACTTTTGGACAAGGGTAAACTTCCCGGGACATTTACAATCTGCATGAGGTAACAGGAGGCACGGATTGCACTGAACGAAGGCTAGGAGATTGCTAATCAGCACTGATGTGTTATACAGGTAAGACTGCTCGATCAACAAAAAACATTTCGACATATCAAAAACATAAATCAAATAGCTCAAAAATAGTGAACATTTATGCAATTCCGGCTTTATTTTATTTTACTCGAGAGATGTCAGACCTATAAATAAAGGCATAATATGGATGCATAAATTCATCTATAATTCAGGATAAACTGAGATTGAATAATGTTTTAAACATTTAAAAATTTAACTCTTTAAAGACTGGGTCAGGACCCACGTACGTGGGTACGAGGGTACGTGGGTAGGAGGTTTTTTATACAAAGCCACCGATCGATGCTCCGGCATCCACTAAACTCTGATTGATATTTATCTGATAAAATATTTGTATTTTTATGATGAATTCATGCAAGATTTAAATTGTTCGCGAAAAGTCCCGGTGAAAAGTGTACTTGTTTTTGACCGTGCATAATAATGAGCTAAAGCTGCAGGGCCATCGTTGATTGGTCAAATTTTACCGACATAAACATTGAGTCGGTAAAGCACGTGGTTTTCTCTTTGGTACAAGGCGGTCATAATAGAAATCAAGATAAGTAAAAGAGACCGACTTGGGCAAGGCTAATAACACATATAAGACCAGAGCTATGATATGTTTAACAATCATGCCCGCTGTGTGGTTTGGAATTACTATTTATAGTCTTTCAGGATTTCACTTTTCTATAGTTGGAGCAGCACCAACTGATGATGAATTCAAACAACTCTCGATTACTGTTATGGAACAGCAAAGAGATCTCAGAGATCAAGCTATTGAAATAGCTGTTTTGGAGAGAAGCGTCATCAAACTTGAAATTCTGTTTGAACAATTAAGCAAAAAATGTAGTAAAACGTGAAAATTAGGAAAGTGAAAGGCCCAAAGGGAGATAAATGTGAACAGGGTATCAGGGGGAAGCCTGGATTTCCAGGAAGAATTGGTGATCAAGGAAACGCAGGTGTCAATGGCAGTCAAGGCCCAATTGGATTGGATCCCCTGGGACAAGGGGTGAACAGGGACCATCTGGATCAACAGGTCCACAAGGACCGAAAGGTGACAAAGGACTGAACGGGGCGTCAGGTCCACAAGGGCAAAAAGGTGGCAAAGGGCTTAACGGGGCAACATGTCAAAAGGGCAAAAAAGTGCAACAGGTGACCGAGGGCATACCGGGGCAGAAGTGACCAAGGACCTACTGGAGCAACAGGTCCAAAAGGGGAAAAAATGTGAAAGAGGTGAACAAAAAAGGCCCCATTTGGGGAACAGGTCCATAAGGGCAAACAGGTACAGAAGGTGACAAAGAGCAAAAAGATGCAAAAGATGACCAAGGGTCAAAGGAGCCAAAAGGTACACCACCATGTATCATTTGTCCAAAAGGGCAGAAAGGTGATCCAGGAACAAAAGGCGCAATTGGTGACCGAGGGCCGACTGGGGCAACAGGTCCACAAGGGCCGAAAGGTGCAAAAGGTGACAGAAGGCCGACGGGGGCAACAGGTCAACAAGGGCCAAAAGGTGCAACTGGTAACCGAGGGCCGACTGGGGCATATATTCGCCATCGACATTTCATGCAGCATTAGTCCAGACACGCCTAACCATCGACAAGGTACAGTGACAAAATATACCGTAGTACACGTTAGACTGTACGATGCCACTATTTAACCGATTTGAAGCAAAGACAATGATGTAGGTTTGCATTAAGGATTTCATGTTTGTTTTTTTGTGTATTCGTTTAGGAAGACATTTAACTTTCTAATAACGTTAAAACAGTGCTCAGTTTTTTCGTAGTCAATCTACCCATATAATTGGTCGGTTGGAGAATGTTGTGTTTTTACACATTTCCTTTGATTATTTCCTCCCCTATCGTCTAAAAGTGTCGAATATTTTTATGAGAATTATATGTTTCTTTAAACAGCACAATTAAGGCCTGTTGAAGATTTAATAAGAATTAACATTTTGGCTTTAATTTAAAAAGTCATAAGTGAACATTGTCATGCATTGAACCTTTGAATCTGTAAAAACACGATGTTTTATTGTGGAATCACTATCATAAGGGTTTTATGAAGTGATTTAGCTGGGTTGGACAAATGGCAACCTTGGGGAAAAAATTATATATGCAAATGAAGGTGTCCATTATATAAAAGCGATTTTTAAAAGCCTTTGACTCAATTGACCATACAATTTTGCTTAATGATAAACTTACAAACAATGGAATTTAATCTAAACGATCGTTCTGGGACTGAGATATTCAATACAACGCACTGAACGCATAAATTTTAAGTTATTGAATGATTTGAAGTGCAATACAGGATATATTATGTTCGAGAAATTCAGAATATACAGAACATATTTGGGGTCATTATAGCCAGTAAAACCTGTAAATATTTTACATCGATTTTAATAAATAAAGAAAAATAAGAAGTATCAATACCAATCGACACATTGAATAATGCTGAATAATAAAACACTGGCAGTTCAGAAATAAAATGATGCTATATTTAAAACATTGATGGACTAAGTTAAATGAAGTATGCAAATGTCTACATTACATTTTGAATTATTACATATTATAAACTGAATATTCAATATTGAAGTTATGAAACAACTTCATTGCAATTGCAAACAACATTGAACACTCTGACTGTAAAACTTATAATATCAGAGCTATGACAAATTTAACACTCATGCACGCTGTGTGGATTGGGATTACTATTTTGAGCTTTTCAGAATTTTCTTTCACTGTAGTTGGAGCGGCAAAAACTGATGATGATGTCAAACAACTCATAGAAAGGGTTGATAAACTGGAAATCCTTGTTGAACAATTGAGTAAGTATTAACTACTGTAAGAAGGGTTCAATTATGATTACTAGGCTACATGTATATAATCTACAAGTTACTCCTATTTGAAGTTAAAGACGGCTGGGGGGAAATCTATGTATGAAACTGTTTGTCTGAAAACGATTAACTCACAAAGATGAACTAAGGATGCAGAATAATAATTTCTAGATTTTCTAGACATTGAGACGCCCATCTAGCTACACACTCATCCACCAAACTGGCAAACAGTTCAAAATAAATTCCAATTCAATAACTGAAATAAAATTGTTTATTTAGGCTGCCAATGGACATCTTGGTCGCCATGGAGTGTTGGTCGTTGTTCTAGCTCATGTGATGGAGGGACACGTCGGGATAGAAGAACCAGAAAATACACTCATTGTGTATCTGGGACAGTTACAGAAACAAGGACCATGTCATGTAACACACAGAAATGTAGTAAGCACAAAATATACTTTTACTTGAGATAATACATAGGGCCCATATACGCATTGACTTTTTAAACATTTTTAAACTTAAAATTTTAAACTTTTTGCCATTACCACCAAACAATTGAAATCTCTATTTCAGTAAATCTCCATTTCAGTCACCTAACGATTATATATTGCTTATGTTTATGTTATTCATAATCATAAATAAACATTTATAAAGCATTCTTACTGTTACTCTTATTTATAAAGCATTGCTTATGTTTATGTTATTCATAATTATAAATAAACATTTATAAAGCATTCTTACTGTTACTCTTATTTATAAAGCATTGCTTATGTTTATGTTATTCATAATTATAAATAAACATTTATAAAGCATTCTTACTGTTACTCTTATTTATAAAGCATTGCTTATGTTTATGTTATTCATAATTATAAATAAACATTTATAAAGCATTCTTACTGTTACTCTTATTTATAAAGCATTGCTTATGTTTATGTTATTCATAATTATAAATAAACATTTATAAAGCATTCTTACTGTTACTCTTATTTATAAAGCATTGCTTATGTTTATGTTATTCATAATTATAAATAAACATTTATAAAGCATTCTTACTGTTACTCTTATTTATAAAGCATTGCTTATGTTTATGTTATTCATAATTATAAATAAACATTTATAAAGCATTCTTACTAATAGACTTCGTGATTAACGTCATACATTAAATTCTAGTCCTGTAATTTAAAGTCATTTTAAGAATCCTACCCCGGGGGTTTCACTCCAATATACCTCTTATTACCTATGTGCCCCTATTGAGCATTTTGTCCATGTCAATTTCCGCTCAAGATTCAAGGTGAAAGTCAGTTTTATTCCTCTCAACTTCATAGGTATGTCCATGTCGAATTCCTCTGGAGTTTGATGAGCCTAAATTTCCCCGGAAATATCATTAAATTGGTACCCTGCGCGCAGAGTCTAGTTATAAACTACTGAAGGTAACCATGTTTTTCTTGTTTATTTTCAAAGTGTACTGTGAGTGGGGCAGTTGGACATCTTGGTATGCTTTTGAACCTTGTCAACTTAGTTGCGACCAAGTGGGAATAAGAACACGTGGAACACGTTACTCTTTCTGGGGGAGTACAACTAAATGCATAGGATCTTCGTTTGAAACACGTACGACTAATTGTAACACTTTACCAAGATATAGAGTCTTTCTCCCTGAATTACCTCCAAATTGCGAACAATATAGGCCAACAGCCTACCCATATAAGTAACAGCCTGAGAAATAACTATATAGTTCTGATGTTTTCATTCTCTAATACTCTAAATGATTAAAAAGTAGCTATCGTGGCATTTAAAGAGAGTTTCATAATGCAATAAATGTCAGGTACTTATGAAAGCATAAAATTCTTTTTTGATTTCTTGATTCAGATTCAAATCAATATATGAGCTTAAATTTCCCTCTTTATAAACTTTATTCAGAGCTAGGACTATGGTAATAGTTATTTTCGTACCAAATTACCTCTAACATAGAGTGAAGATGAAGCTCTATTTTACAGAAGCAAAATCAAACTATAGGAATTGGTATGAAAATGTATTAATATCAACAAATGGAGACTTTTCATAGGACGATTCATGCTAATAATATCACTTATTTTAGCATGTTCAGTCTTGTTCACTTACAAATAATCATTATTTTATGACTATGACGTGTCGCAAAAAGGTGGCGCATTTATTTTTTAAGGGTATCGCGTGAATGTAACTTTGATTCCCCAGATTATAAGATAATATTCTAATTAAAGTTATATATCATTTTAAAGCTGTTTCGATGAAGTTTTTAGATCAACTACACTCCGTTCACGATTCTTGCACGTTCTTTTTTAAAAAAGAGTTTTTTACCAAAACATCTGGCAAATATCCTCTGTTGACACGTTACATTTTGAATTATTTTTCGTCTTTAAACGCTCATAACTCAAACAATATATGACTATTATACTTATTTTTCGTCTTGATAAAGGTAGATATACGTTTTATTTCAAAGGATGAATTTTAGTAAGCGTCCCATATTGTGACGTCATAGAGTTTGAAAAATAGAATCTGTTGACAGCGACCTTTTTTGCTCATTTTTTCACCTTCAGCTTTTCAGGTGTACATTAAACAAAAAATACGAGATCAATTTTTAATAAATCATACATGATTATTTTGCTCCTAAACTCTATTTTATTAATAAATAGTTGATATTGTAACAATGCGTGCGCGACCTTTTTGCGACACGTCTATGTAATTCTTATTTAAAGAGAGAATCAGATCCAGCGAGCAGCGTAACAACAAATTGTTTCAATTTTTAAATATTTCCGGCTTATGTCATTCCTTTTCATGTCTATTTTCTAAAAATCCCCAAAGTGCACACTTTATATCAGGAAAACTAAAGATTTTTAAAATAATGTATTATTTTTTTCTATAAGACTGGTTACCATTCTTATTAGTTGGGAGAATTTAACATTTTTCACCCATTTTTGCAGTTTGAATCCATTATAACATCACAAATTTATAAAATAGCGTGAATCTTTTGGGAGATATTGTATTTGAAATTGTAAGGAACAGATTGGTAGGTCAATTGTACATGTTGCTTGTAATTTTGTCACCCCATAGATCTGATTCTGCCTTTAATCATTATTTACATAATCTGTGTCAAGAATGTTTATCAAAAGTAGGACTTAACTCAAAATGTTAAATTGATCTTGTTGAAGGTGTATTAATTTCAACTTCAATCATTTGTTACTCAGAAAAATAATTTTGATCTCGAAAAATTACAAAACAACATTTTGTTAGTTGTATTAATAAACAGTGTGTGTACGGAACTATTATAGAATATATTAAAAATCAGACGTACCTACATGATATACCTGTAAGACCAAGCCTTTTAAAATATATTTAGTGTTCTAATTGTTGATATTGACAAGGTATATAAAGTCAGTGATCCTAATGTTTAGGGCAAAAATGTGACATGTATAGACAACAAGACACACAATGATAAATATCACACTTTAGAGAAAATGGCTGTCATTTACCAAGCATGTCCGAAACCTAATCAGATGTTGACATGCAAGTTGACCAACAAATAATGTCTGTAATGTACAAATGCATGCCTATGTTTAGCTACGTGTGAATTGATAGGTTTTGGGGAATTAATTTACACTGGTATATGGTCTGATACTCCAGCAAATCAAATGTTCACAACAGTTTTAAAACGCCAATTGTTACAGACGCTTAAGTCCGCCGTCACAAAAAAGTTGGAGACCATAACAATATGTCCCCACTTTTGGTGGTGACATAATAATGACACGCCCATGTTTTACTTTCATCTGAATGTAACAAATGTTTTTTGTTATTGATATGAAATGTATTTATCCTAGATCAAGAAAATACAATATTTAAATGAGGATGTATTTACAAAACTAAACATAGCTGGTTAACTTCCTAACTTACTGATGTAGACTAATGTGCTCATAAGGTGAAAAAGTGGTCACAAAATGAGAACAGTATTACAATCTGTAGAATTGTTCATGAACAGTTCTACAAATGTTCTATTGCTATGTTCTGAAACATTCATTATCATGAGATCATTCTAGAATATAGAGATTGAATAATTGAAAGTTCATGAACATTTAAAAGACATACATTTCTGCATTGGTGAGTAAATTATCTAAAGTCTATGCTGAACTATTACTTGTGCAAGCATTGAGAGAGAAATCAAATTTCATGAACGACAAATAGAACAAATATTGTACTTGGACAAAAACACATGAACTGCTCATGAACTTTTTTTAAAATTTACATGAAGAAAAGATCAATTTATTGTTTAAATATTGAATATTCCCAATCTTAACATTACAGTCTATGTCAAACCATCTTGATTGGTACATCTTCTTAAATGAGCAAAAAATGTGTATTATTGTTCATATTTTCACATTATTTGCTTTTAAAAACCATCACAACCATGCGATAAAATAAGTTTCTACATAAGCAAAAATCAGATTGTCTTTGATGAATCTAAACATAAAATACCATTTGTAAAATAAATAAGCAATATCGCATTTAAATACTGACAAAAATAGACAAAAATGATTTATAGGATCGGAGATTAGGCTAAATAATACGAACTGGCTATTAGTGCCCGTCATGTAAGCAAGATTAATACCTCATCTTTTTTATATAATTTTATTTAGAATATAAATGTATCTTATACATTTGAAAATTTATGCCAAATTTTAACTCATTTTCTTTTTCTTTTTCAAACCTTTTTCAAAATTTAATCATCATGCTGATTTATGAATGAAACCTTTTATTATAGAAAAATTGGTAAATACTGTACCTATACATGTAAAATGAAATGCACAATCTGTTAAATGTGCAGTACATTTGCCAATCTTTCCCCAGGAATTTGCACGCAAGTATTGAAGTTGGCCTATTAGAGATACATGTAATATGGTAATACTCCCTCAATGAATTGAAATTACTTTGGCAATATATAATTTTGGAACTTATCATGTAATAAGCGAATTCTAAATATAGGTGCAGAAAAATCTCACAGGATCTTTTAAATACACAAATTACCCTATCCACTGAAACGCAAGGCTCCGGATAATACCACTCTCTGTATACTCAAGAGCCTTGCGTTTAGAAGAGGAATTTACTCTAAAATATACAATATGTAATACTTAATATATTCAAATACTTATATATCAAATACTTATTTTAATTATAAACAACTATGGCTTGGAAAAACATACACAATTATTCCAAGTTTACATAAACATGTACATATAAATTCACAACCAATAAATTATGGACAAATAATACTTCTTAGCATGATAAATGCACGAGAACAAATTAAAGTAAACAAAAATTATAACAACAATAAAATAAACATTTAGAGTAAAGCGGAATACAAGGTATTGCAACATGGCATTAACATGACAACAGGCCCGTAGCCAGGGGGGGGGGGGGGGGGGGGGGGGGGGTTCGCGGGATTCAGGCGACCCCCCCCCCCCCTGGCCAAAATTTCTTTCAAAATCATGCAGTTTTTCACCATTCTGACTATTTTTGAGAGATTTTTGGCCAAATTTGCCAAAGTGAAAAAAATCTGGCTACGGGCCTGAGACAACTTGATTAACATTACTTTAAATGATTTTAAAGTGTAACAGGTTGTCACAGACAGAGTACAACCTGCCAGTTTATTCTGAACACATGTGACAGACAGAGACCATAACAATATGTCTCAAATTGTTGGTCTTCACATAATAACTTAAACTGTCAAGTTGATACCATTTGAAAGGAAATGACTTCATCATGATATATGGCATTTTATAATGTATTAGAATATGGATATATAATGAGAAAACTAATTTTCATGGTTCACTCTGTTTGAAGAGTTCTCAGTACACATTTTGGCTAAAATAGTTTCATATTTAAAACATCACTAAAGTGTTATATACTATGCTATAGGCATTCTAAAATCTAGATGCTTGCATTCTCAAAATTCTTTTCTACACCATACCAACAACAGTAAAAATATTAAATAAAACTGAGATTTCTACGCTTTTCCATCAACTTTCTATATCACCCTCTCGCAATGACAAATTATTTTATAATATTGCTTGTTTACAAGAACCCCAAGATCTATATAAAACAAATGTACATATAGACAAAGATAAGCTATTGCAATGGGAAGATTTTCACATTTAACTTATGATATTTCTTTTTTTCCGTACACCGACTAAAAGTTTGAGACATTTAGTATTATGCATACTTGCAAAACAGTAAAATACATTCAAAAGTTATCATGGCAATTAAGGAGATAATACATGTAAACAGTTACCATGGTAACATATATAATACATACAATAGTACATCATAAGATAGCAACATAATATAATACAAAAAACATCAAAAATAAAATTTGACCTCCACTGAATTACATACATCGTGATTATGAAAAATTTACAAAACATATATGAGTGCTCTAATACATAGATATAATGTACATGTATAGAATATGACAAAAGCCAATTGCGATATAATAAGAAGCCAATTACAGGTATTTTTGAAATAGCCAATAATAATGTGATTAAAGCTATACAAATAAAAGCGCATTATGTATGTATAATGCATTAACAAAACAAAATAAGATTGACTAAAAGCTGTAAAAGTTGAACTGATTGACATATACACATGAGATTCATAATACAACATTTTAATATCATTTTGATATAAAAAGTCTAGTGTTGAATCATTCTTAGAAGCTGATGTCAAACATCAAAATATCAATTTTTCCAGAGCTTCGTTTCATTCCTTAAAAAACATGAACAGAATAAACATTAATTAGATAATATCAAGAATGTCAACTTCAATGTTTTAGTCTGAGCATTTGTAAATTTTCTAAATATATAAACATTGATGTTTTGACCCGGTCCCTTACTGCTTCTCTATTCTGTTGGGATTCTATGAAGGAACCAATATTTAAACTAAATTCTATGATATATACAGTTGTACCATAGGGCTACATGTCATTTCTAATCCAATATCTGAGACAAAAATTTAATCTAGATCATACATTGATCAGTTCAAAAATACATACATGATATACCAAAATTCAGCACCACCTATTATTCTGATTATAAAAATACTTGGACTCTCACAAAAAGACTTAGATTCACATCAGACTGATTGACACGCCATCTGTCTGCTCATGCTTGTTACTCACAATTTCTCTCTAAAATTTGAATAAAGTGTCTGATTTTCTTGCAATTTCATATAATTTAGAGTGTTACCTTCATGCCTGTTTACTTTATTCTAGCTAATTCCTCTCATTTCTCTCTAAAGTTTGAATAAAGTGTCTGATTTTCTTGCAATTTCATATAATTTAGAGTGTTACCTTCATGCCTGTTTACTTTATTCTAGCTAATTCCTCTCATTTCTCTCTAAAGTTTGAATAAAGTGTCTGATTTTCTTACATTTCTATATAAGAGTATTTATTATGTGTCTATTCAGTTTATTCCTCTTTGATTCCTTTTTTCAGTTTATTTTGCATTTTACGACACAATGATGTAATTCACCAGTTTGTTACAAAATGCTTTACTTAGGACTGGTGCTTACTAGGGATGTCCGAGGAGGGGGCTTAGGGGGTACCCCCATTGTAACCCTAGGGGGTGATACGCTACTTCCATTTTTTGATAAACTATTTGGTCGGAGTGGTGATCCTTCATGAGTTTTCGCTGCCGTCACAACTGTACCATGTGGCGCCATCTTTGATGTTCCACTTGCACCACTAGATGTCGCTAGTTTTGAAGTAGCTGGATTAGTCGGTGAAGGCACTATGACTGATTTTGACGTTGGAGTGATGGGAGAAGTCGGAGTTGAGCCACCAAGAGAACTTCCTTCAGAATTTGAGACATGATTGTTCGTGTTTGGGTCGTTTGATTTATTTTTAATTAAGTTTGGTGCATTTTTGTTCTGTAATGGGGGTGGACTGGTTGTCTGAGCCGCAAGCCTCTGGAAAAAACAATCATTATTTATCAGTGTAATTTTGTCATTTTGCAATTTAATATAGATTAAATACATTGCATTCCAAAAAATCCAATTTAACAGATCCCTGTAATCCTGCAATTCAAATAAATGTATAATTCGCAAGTACAAGCTTTGATTGAATGTATCTATATCATGAAATGTGTCACAGGCCAGGAGACACGGGTGGTTAGTAGTTTGTTACTTTTTTATTCCTTAATTCAATTATGAAATCAGTTATGAAATGGACTCTCCAATTTCATTTTGTTCTCAGCATTTTAAAATGTCACATATCCATGTCACAATTCGTCTTAAAAAACCACGGGCTTTCAACCAATCGTAATACAAGCACTGTGTATTGTATAATACTTATTGTATAATAATTGTTAAGTTGAAATACATGAAAAGGGCTATTTCATTTAGTGAACTCAAATAAGAGAAATTACAACAAACCAATTTAGTCAAATTCTCACCTTCAGAGCCTCTCTCCGCTGGAACTCCCATCTTGCCTTCTCTGTGGCCACCCAGTAGGGAACGTCTGGTATAGCATATGCAATCAGTAACTTCACAGCCAATATCACATGCTGTAAAACAGATACGTAGTGTCCCACATAATTACTTTGATAGATTTCTATTTCTCACTTAATATTTGGAAATAAATAAATAAATAAAAATAAATATAAACATGGTGTTTCTTATATCCATTTTTTCAGAGTTCGCAAAATGTAATGGAACTTTCATTGAGATGACCCATATTCAATCCCTCCCAGTGAATATCCTCCATATACCATATAGCCTACCTCTAAAATGACTATGAACACTAGCACTTCAGTGGTAGATAGCTGTGGCACCATACGGGGGACAAGGCCTGATATTCCAATGAGACAACAATTCACACCTATTGCTATTACTCCCATAATACCCAACAGGTCCTAAAAAATAAAGGAAATATATGAAATAATTAATAGTCTACTAGACATCATTTGAGGCAACTTCTTTGATGGTCAACACCTGGCTGGTATAATAAAGTTATAAAAACAAATTTGTAAAAACATATGGCAATTTTAAAAGTTTAATTAATATAATCTTTACCTCCCATATTCCAATACTGGAAACTCTCTCGCCAAATGGACGTTGAAAGTTCATGCAAAGCTTAAAGGCGTCGCTACGAATCTCAATGATGTTGTTGAGCAATGCACACAAAGCGGCCAATGGGAATGCAGATGAGAATAGGACGACGTAACCAAACTGAATAAACATCTCCATAAAGTCTTCAAATGTATCTTCATACTGAAAAATTGAAGAAAGTTAAAATCGGAGATAGGAGAGCCAATGTCCAGTAAAACCTCTATGACAGAACACTTCTAATGTGAACATATAAAGACTCGCATATCCAAAACCTTGAAATGTGAACACCTGCTAATCCAAACACTTTTGGTCATTCAAGTAGTGTTTAAATTTGACGTGTTAGAAAATTTTAAAGCTCATCACACTTTTTTGAGATGAATATCTCCTCACTACTCATAACTAAACTTTGTGTTACAAGTGGCCATGAATACATACAGTAAAGTACAGATGCAACAATTATCTGCATTTTGATATAAAATTATTCTCAATAGGTATTACTTTAAAAAGAGGAAGATGAGGCTACAAATCGTAAGCAACAGTAAGTTAACAGTTCATTGTCTTACACATTGTAAGTTTAAATGATTTTACTTTTGGGAAATAACCCATTTTAGGTAAAACAAGAGATTCAGATGCTCTTTATTGACTAAAATCTGTGTCATTTTGCTATAAAATGACTAAGATGAAAAAAATAGTGAGAATGTTCTGCTTCACCTTTTTCATTGCACTTTCTACTTCAGCCTGCGTGAGCTGTGGCCCACTTTGTTTAACATCAATCTCATCTTCACAATCACTATCCTTGTCTTTAGGGGGAGTATGTTCAATAGATGTATCAGTCACACTGGAATTACTTTCACTACATTTATCCTCACTTGAGCTGTTACTTCTACTGTTTTTCCTCCTGCAGCTGGTCATTTCTTTCATTTGTTTATCTAATGTGTCTGGACTCATCGTCGCTGTCATGTCATAGCCGATTTTGTAGATTTTTAATTTGTAGAATATGTACGGAACAAGAGCTTCTTTGATGTTGCCGATCACTTGACGTGTTATAAGAAGTGTCGCCAATTGCTGAAAAAATTATTTGTATTAATCTGATGTTTATGTTTCTCAACACCATTGTCATATCTGACATTCTAAACCTATACATATATTGTAAAAGAAGCGTTCGAAATGCAGTGTTTTATTTTCTAGCATTGCTTATAATTTAGACTGCAAACTTAAAAGTTCTCTTCACTTTATACTAGCTTCCTATTTTCACATACTTTTCTTGAAGCCCCATGCTTATTGTAATTCCTAAAAAACTAATTTACAGATTTTGAGTTTGCACATAAAAAACTGTACCTCCTTGAGACGGTCCATGTCTCTAAGATAGAACCCAATGTAGAATAGCGACAGGAAGGAATTGACAAACTGAAACTGAACATAAAAATCAATTAAACAAGGCATTTTCATGACAAAATGTAACAACCTACAAATTGTTACAAAAGTGTAACAAGTGTTACAGATGCTGTTGAGAACAAAATGGTGTTTAAAACCTTGAATTAATTCAATCTGTTACAATGTTACAGAAAAGTGATTCCTTTTTAATGATGATTGTATTCCACTAGGACAAGAGATGCTCATATGTTAACTAGATTTTTGCTCTAGGATAAGACTTATGCTTAATATTTGTACCTACCAAAACTAGTTTGATAACAAGATGATTTTCATATGTCTCATCTAATCTGTAGTTTTCTGAAAGTTATAAATATATCATTAAAATCTCAATCAAAACTAAGATAAGCATTTTTCAAGTTTGTGTTGGACATCCCATTTTTAAGTTATCTAAGGGTGCAGTTAAAAAAAATAGTAATTTGAGTCGAATAAATAAGTGGTAAACTAAGCAGGTATGAAGTCTCTAAATTGTATAGAAATACAAATCGACAGACACTATCCAAATTTAATGAAAACTAGCAAAGAATTTACTAAACAAACATACAGTATAGTCAATAAATTGCGTGATAAAAATGAAAGTAAATCAGACATTTCTCTAAGACTTTAGAGAGAAAAATATAATTCCAAATGGCCGGCGGAATAGAAAAACAATTTTTACTCAAAACATACCTAAATCATTCAACCAAGTGGCAATCCTCTTATAAATATCATCCTGGATTCCAATTGAAACAGCGAGTAAGATCTTTGGAATGAAACGAAGAAAAGCGGGGTATTCCCCTTGGGCAATTTTTCCATTCACCCATTCCTGGAGCTCAAATATGGCAAGCATCGAGAGGAACACGAGTCCAAGACATGTGCAGATGATTGGCGTGGTTATGAAATATCGGAATAAGTTACGTTTCCAGTTTGGGTAGTACGGCTCTAGTCGTCCTGTTACGGGACTCCGTTGTAGATCACCCTGAAGTATAATAAAATATTATCTTGTTTGGCTGTTTGCAATGATTAGCTAAATATTGATAAGCACTTGATTTAAAAAACAAGGCATGTGACGTGAACGAGATCACACCATCAAAAAACCTTCAAAATGGCCACCAGAAAAAAGATGGCTGCCAAAAAGTTAATCGGCAGCTTTAGAACTTGATATCCTCTATCATGTGTGCGAATTTGGAGACAATCCGATGAGTTGTTTTCCTGAAATGGCGATGACAAAATTTTCCGAAAAAACCTTCAAAATGGTCACCAGAAAACAAGATGGCCTACTAAAAGTTAATCAGCTCTAGAACCTGACATCCTTTATCATGTGTGTGAATCTGGATACAGTCCTGAAATAGCGATGACAAGACTTTTGATTTTTTTATATAAGACAAGACTTTTGATGTTGATCTTTAAATCCCGATTTTGAGTGTACGGCCCGATCTTTCACATACCTTAAATAATGGCCTTGGCTCTTTTAATAAATCATCTTCTTTGTCTAATGTGCCCCATTTGTATGCTAATACAGAGCTACGTCTTTTCCAATGCTCAAGGTATAACGTGGCCCATAATGCATTGAACAATGCAAATCCAACAAATATCATGTCATCTGTCGTCTGAAAATATTTGAATAAATATTGGTGTCATTCAATGCACTATATCTTTATATTTCATAATATTAAAGAGAACTTTTCCTCTTGTAGTGTGATTATATTTATCAAGACCTCATCTAAAAGAGCATATTACACCCTTGGTATACGCAGCTAATGAAAATTGACCGGTACGGGTCAAAAGCTGGACCGGTACGGGTTAACGGTTTTATTTGAATTTAAAACAGCCATAACTTGCTCAATATTGACCTCCTCGTGTCTAATTTGAAATATATGATGCCTCCCAATTAGAGGTGTAACTCGCCGGAAAAATCCAACTCGAGTTCAACTTGCCAAATATTTCCAAAACTTAGAACTCGAGTTAATTCATTTCGTGCAGTACATATTGTAAACCCGGGTAAACAAAGTTACTGTAACTTCTAGCGGCAAGTTTCTCTGGTTAAGTCACATCTAAAAGCTGTACTTCACACGTTGGGGCCATAAGAAAGTGTGGTATGCATTGCAGTTATCTCATATTTCAATCAAAAATGATCTGGTATAGACGTCGCCGCATACGGTAAGGACTAGTTAGAAATCGCTAAAATGAACCAAGAATCTAACCAAACAGTATTTTAGAAAACCCAGAAGGGCCCCTCAAATTAATGAATGATTTTCCCGGATTATCTTCATTATTTCTGCTAAAGACTGCAGGATATCGATCTAAAGTTATGACTTGTGGTCTTATGATTTAATGATAGATCATCTTTTTATGTAAAAGTCTTGTAAACGACGTGAGAATAAGGGGACCATTTTTTATTCAATTTCAGTGACAACTCTATTATCGCCCGCTTGAGTTCCTTCGATAATCAATTTTTTCTGATTAATTTGGTGTAACTTGTCATTCCTCGATATTTGTTGAACTTTGTGAAACTTTGAGAGTGTTTTTAGGTGACGGGCGCTAAAAACGGCGATCATTGGTATATTTATTCTCCTAATGAAGTAATGTTGCACGATCTCTGGGACCCAAATTCATTTTACATGCTTGCAAGAGTTAACTCGAGTTAACTCGCGAGTTATAGCTAGCTCGCGAGTTGAAACAGATTGCGAGTTTCTAGAGGATGACTCGAGGCAACGTATAGGCAGCTCTGACGAGCTGTACTCGAGTTACTGACTCGGGAGTTACACCTCTACTCCCAATGCTTTTAAGTACCCCAATTTTTTACAGATTTTTAAACGGACCAAAACTCTCTAAATGCGCATTTATGCTCTTTTCTCTCGAGAACGACTCTCATTTTCACAATAACTTTTATTTAGTACTTCTAACATATAAGATCTATTTTTCCCCATCAAGGTATGATGTAAATCACATGCTATTTACATCTTGTGAGTTTCAATGACGCATGTTTGATTTTATAAAAAATGCCAAACTTTGTGACAAAGAATTTCCTCCTGCTCGCAGCGAGAAGACGGACCGGTTCGGGGCAATATAACATACATGCCTGGTTACTTTGTTCCTTGCTAATTCCACTCTTTTCCACTCTATTTTGTATTTCAGAATAGAATCATATGACACTGAGCCTTACCTGATCGAGGCCACTGAAGACCCATATGACAACCCCAAGGAATGCTGGGATTGTTAAGGCTACTGTGTAGTGTCCCAAATAAGCAAAATATAGTGCTAGTTTTACGCCAAAGTAATCACATATTGCATCTGAAATACAGAAAAACGATCACCAAATAAGGAATTAAATTTAATTTGAGTTTTCCTTTAGTCATCCATAAATTTGATCATTTATTTTTCTGAAAAATGTTCTCTAGAAATTTGTTATTATCAAATATATTAAAGGTTTCCAACTGAACTATATAGAATTGAATTTAGAAAAGATCTCTCTCATTTTGAAAGAATTTCCTCCCTTTTTCTGTACAGTGAAACCTGTTAAGTAATAATTTCACTTTCTACATCATTTTTTTAAACCTATCTACAGTATGTTTTACAATACTCCTGGGCATATTCTGACTAATTTTGGACTGAATTGTGAAATGAGAATTTTGCACCCACTTGAGAAAAATCCTGGGGAGAGCACTGTTATACATGTAGTTTTATTGGATTCCACAGAAAATTGACAAAGTTATTCACAACTATTTTCTCACCTAAAGGTTGCTTGCTGAAGAATGCTTTTACCCAGCTGCATTGAAGACTTTTCAATGTTTCATTGTTGTGTAGAGGTAATACCTGAGAGACTATATTCTTGGACAGAAGAACGGGAGCTGAAAATAAACATAATATTTCAATCATGATTTTAAACCTAAAATGGAAATTTAGGCAAAAATGACCCCTCCCACTCTTGCTATAAGCTAGGAAATGGCCACGCTGTTGCCATTTTTTGGGAAAAAGGCCCCCTATTGATAAAAACTGGAAAAGCAGATTCTTGCTTTGGGGTTGGTCAGTTTGGGCCTTTGTAAATAACTAAAAAATGTCTCATCATCATAAGTTTGGGTAAACTGCATTCTAAAAATCAAAACCAGATATTTAACTTAGGCTAGCCTTAAATGTATGGCCTCATGTGATGATTCTTAATTCCAGTGTCAGTCGGCCACTATGATCAACAAAATCAGCTGTTGTGCTTCGGATATACACCCCCTAAAAAAACTTGGCAACTAGAAGACCCAATTGGATTAGACTGTTTATGCTTAATCTATTCATGGGCTTTCAACTAGCCATTTCAGGAAATTACGATTTTGATAAAATTCATTAAAAATCAATGAAAAACTTTGAAGCATCATCCAAAAGTAGACAGGTTGCCGTCTTTTTGGAGGGTAGTGTACTTGATCAAAGATATTGCACACAGTCAGGAATAGGAATTTATATACCAAGCAGCTAAAGCTTTAAAATCATCATATAAATTCCAAGTTTGATGATATGTCTAATTCAATTAATGTACAGAATTTATAAGGTCAAAGTATGCTCAATCAATCATCTTTAGATCCATGCTTATGAAAACTAAAAAATACAGTCTCGTTTAGGAAGGTGTCCGCGGTCCAGTTATCAACAGATCTGGAGTAATGTTTCTTTAAGCGAGGGTGGGGGGGGGGGGGGGTGTAGATGATGGTTTCGTTAGCTTAGAGTGTTGATTCTATTTATTTAATAATATATAAGTGAAAGACAATTTGACCTCATTTATGAGTAAACATGATTTTCAGGAAAATTGGTTATTTTTTCGAATCAAAAACACTAATTTTTAAGACATAGGAAAACTCAGACAATGTTGTTAAATTATATGCGTGTAGTATTTATAGTGACCATAAATGATTTAAATTATTGCTTATTATTAATTCAACATTGCTATCGATCATCACCTGAATACACTTACTTGTACTTTTACTTAATTGGGCGCTACTTTTTTGGCGGATTTGCTTTTTGAACATTTGGCGGCTACTTAATTTGGCAGACTTGCAATATTACAATGAATAAATGGTACTAATTTACATAGTACTAAGATAACCAGGGGGTCATTAACAGAACTTTCGCAAAGTTACGAATTCGCAAGTCAATTGTTAATTTTACAAAGGAGGAGGGAAGTTAGTGCAACAGATTTTGGACAGTCATATGTTTGATTTTGGCCATTTCCTGGGGATTTAAACAGGTGCATATGTTAGGCAAATGCATTACCTCCAGGAAAATCACTTCTAGAGATGATAAAATAATTTCGACTTAGAGACAGGGTAGATGCAAACAACCCACCCACATGTTTTTTCTGAAATGTTTTCCTGATTTTCAACTCCTTCCATCCCTGCTTTTTTAATTTTTCCTGCATCAGTATGTTGTGTTTTGACACACAGTTAATCCCTTAAAAGGAATAAATGATTCCTTTTAGATAAAGTGGAAAACAATATTTCCCATGTTATTTTCCCATAGGAAAAATCATTGCTTTCAGCTAAGTTTGGTCACCCATAATGGGTATCTTTAAAACCCCTAAAGGAATCACTTACTCCTTTAAAGTGGCTAACTATGTGTCAAAATGCAACATATTGATGCAGGAAAAATTAAAAAAGCAGGGATGGAAGGGGTTGAAAATCAGGAAAACATTTCAGAAAAAACATGTGGGTGGGTTGTTTGCATCTACCCTGTCTCTAAGTCGAAATTATTTTATCATCTCTAGAAGTGATTTTCCTGGAGGTAATGCATTCGCCTAACATATGTACCTGTTTAAATCCTCAGAAAAAAGCCAAAATCAAACATATGACTGTCCAAAATCTGTTGCGCTAACTTCCCTCCTCCTTTAGTAAATGTGCATTAACAGAACTTTCGTAAAGTTACGAACGATTAGCAAAGTTACGAAAAAATGACGTCACATGTGCTTTCGTTCGTAACTTTAATAGCACCTCAGACCCTTTCATAACTTTGCGAATGGCATATTTGTCATCCAATTCTTATGTAAGGTATAAAGGTTGGCAAAAAGAAATTGTTCTTTATATGCATGCTAAGTTTCAAGCTAAAATATTCACCTATTCTTACATGATAAGCAAATATGTGTCTGAGCTGGGAATCTTTGAAATCGCGGAGACAGGTTTAATCACAGCGCGCAATGATATCAAATGACATCATATTTTTATTTGTGCTAAATAATGATATAAGATGACGTCACAATTTGAAATTCGTTTACGAACGATAAAACTTATGAATTATTTACGAAAGTGTTCTGTTAATGGCCGATTCGTAACTTTACGAATTCGTAAGTCATTCGTAACTTTTTAAATATTTACGAATTTCATAAAGATGCGAATTACGAATTCGTAACTTTGCGAAAGTTCTGTTAATGACCCCCAGGGAATTTTATGGCTACTTAACAATTTTGCGTGTCGGGCAAATTAAAACAACCACCAAATTAAGTAGAAGTACAGTATTATGTGAATACTTCTCACAAGTACATCTCAGTGTGAATGCTTCTAAATTTGTCCATCTCAATATTAAACCTCTAAATGTGAATACCTCTCAATCAAAAAAGCTCTCAATGTCACTGGTGATCCACTCGATTGACAGTTCGTTTTGGTAACAAAATGTCGGAACATCGAATGTACGATTTTTCTCTTTTCCTTATTTCACACATCACAGAATTGTCGATTTAATTCTTCACTTAAATTACATAAACGGTTTTTGGAAAGACAGTTAAGATCTGCACTTTTAACCCAAACCGTTTATGTAACTAAGTGAGGAATTAAATCGACGATTCTGTTGTCTTCTGAGCTATTTTTTCGTAAACATGAACATTTTCTTAAACATATGATACTGATATACGTTTGTGAGAAAAAACGTTGTGGGGATTTGGCCTAAAACGCGTGAAATAAGGAAAAAAGAAAAATCGTACCTTCGGCGTTACGACATTTTGTTACCAAAACGAACCGTTTCGGTAACCAGCGTAATCGAGCGGATCACCAGTGAATGTGAGCATCTCTAAATATGAACATTTATATTATCTATGCTGTTCACTCATTTTACTGTTGTTATCTAAGAGGTTATCACTTATCTATCCATTATATGCAATGCAATATCCAGGTATTGATAACTTGCATCTTAATTCTCTCACTGGTCATGGCTATTTCATGGATTTTCTCTCTCAAACTTCACTGAACTGTATGATTTTCTTGGGTTTCTATACAATTTAGAGTGTTGACTACATGCCTGTTTATTTCATTCCTTGCTGATTCCATTCTTTTATACTCTATTTTGCATTTTAAAATGTACTCCCCGTGTAATTTTGAAGAAGGGATTACCCAGTAGTTGTAATTCATTATAAGGTATATGTAAATGCTTGGAAACAATTTCATCTAGAACATCAAATACCCAGCCTTGTGAGATATGATAAATAAATGATGGATTTATATTGGAAGCATAAGCTACATTATGAGCTAATAGTCATGATTCTGCTACCTTACACTCCTGGGGATTTTCTCATTTGGATGATTTCGATATGTTTTAGTGCAACGTTTTAGGATTTGTAATTTTTGTGTCTAAAATTTTTTTGTGTAAAATTTTAAGCATAGTTTCATTGTTTTTTGTGCAACATTTTAGGATTTTCTTTTTTTTCACTGATGGAGGAACAATTTGGTTATAAGTAGGATCTGGGAAGTACCCTTAATAGCATATATGGAAAAAATGGATCTCAATTAAATATAAATGGGACGTATATTCAAAAATTGGTCCAAGGGTTTTCTAAATAATTTCTTGTCCTCCCCCTTGTCTTTTGACAAGAATTTGGCCCTGAATTTTCTGCCATTTCTACATACCTGAAAGAGGCGACTTATAATACATGTACATGGCTATCCATTTGATGATTCAACGCTTTTCAAATCTTCCAATTTTAGAGCATAACAATAATTCATTTTCTCCAGGCATATTTTACTCTCAAAAACCACTAGAGAAAGCAAAAGCATTCTGGTGCAGTTTACATATTTACTCCAAACTAAAAGTAGAAAAGGAGTAGAATGTTAAGTTGATTGAAATCCCAAATGTCAAGATTTCTAGAATTTCTACTTGCATAGATCTGCAAATCTAATTGATTCACAGACGATTCACAGAGTAACTCCAGTCCAGTATGTGTGTTGTAAGTTCAGAATCCTGAATTTGGGGTTTTAGATCTCCAAGATCTCTGGAAAAAACCTAGACCCCCTCTAGTGAATATGATGTAAAGAATGTCTCTAAGAATCAAAATCCCAATCATGTCTATCACTCTATATTATGCATTAACTTAATATTATGCATAAACTTAATGATGAGAGAAAATTATGTAATATTCCCAATCCATCAAGTCATTCTTATTTCATGTCATTTCTCTCTAAACGTTGGATGATATATCTGGTTTTCTTGCATTTTTATAAAATTTGGAGCGTCAAGTACATATTTATTCTCTTTATTCCTTGCTAATTCCTTTCATTTCCCTCAAAATATAGATTGAATTGTCTGATTTTCTTGCATTTCTATTCAACAGAGTGTTAATCTCATTTCTCTCTTAAATTTTAATAAAGACGTGCAGTCTTGGTGTGTTGCTTGTTTACTTTATTCCTTGCTAATTCCACTCTTTTACACTTTATTTCACACACATTATCAAAGCAGTATTTCTCTGCAATAGTATGAAAAAGTAAGCATGATGAGCCTATAAAATGTCAATTCTGTATTGTAAAAATAAACAGATTGCAGTGTTCTCTCCCGGATTTTTTCTCAGGTGCAATATTCTCATTTTCACAATTCAGACCAAAATTGGTCAAAATAT